ATGTAGCCTCTCCCCGCCTCTCAAACAAAGCAACACTCAAAGCAGCTAATTTTAAAAACTTACTCAGATTTCTAGTGCCCTCTAAGACAAGGCTTATCCTGAAGCATAAGGAAACAAAATGGCTTCTTGCTTCCTCAACTTCTGTGGGAGCACAACTGAAATTGCATTGAAATAGCATTGGAGGGAGGGGCCACATTTCCATATGTGTTTCTCAACCTTCCTAATGCCGCGACCCCTTAATACAGTTCCTCATGTTGTGGTGACCCCCAACCATAACATTATTTTGTTGCTACTCCATAACTGTAATTTTGCTACTGTTATGAATTGTAATGGTAATATCTGATATGCAGGATGTATTTGGGATTGATTTTGTCATTTGGGAGTTGTAGTTGCTGCAATTTATAGTTCAGAGAAAATGTAAAGATGTCCTGTTACTATAAACTTTCAGCGAAAAATAGCAATTAGAATAATGATGAGAATACCAAACTAACCAGTATAGTACACAAGCATGGGAAACAACCACATAGGGACTATTCACAATAGTGTAACCAACATAATATTCATGTTAGAATCTTATCAAAATAATTACCCGTATTTTCTGGCATATAAGACGACTGGGCGTAAAAGACCACCCCCAACTTTTCCAGTTAAAATATAGAGTTTGGGATATATTCGCCGTATAAGACAACCCCTCTTCTAACGCACACCAAATACAAATTTAAAAAGCATCAGATTTGATTTCAACATTGTAATTTTCCTATTACTGTCCCTCCTTCTCTGCCTCTCAGATCTCGCACCTGCACCGCTTCACTGCAGTCTTCAGGAGCGAGATCTGAGAGGCAGAGGAGGAGGTAATAGGATACAAGGGCGGGCCAGACAGGTAAAAGAGGTATTATTGTCTGGGCCCAGAGCCACTCTATCTCTTCTTTCCATACCCCGGGCGCCCCAGATGCCTGTAGCTTGCACCGCCCTTCACTTACATCTTCCCGATGAGGCGCCCCTTCACCTCACCATCAGGACCACATTAAGTCCACGAATCCTGATGAATGGATTTTCTTTTACCGTACTTGAACAGCGGCACCCTTAACGCTTTCATACAGTCGCTGCATACGGAAGGACCACAGCCACTGCCATTTTTGAGCTCCCCCCACAATATGCGGCAACCATAGATTCAACAATCCAGATTGGAAATTTCAGCACCCTCTCTATAAGATGACTCCGAGCGTATGAGACTACTCCTGCGTATAAGACGACTCCCATGTATAAGACTACTCCCGCATATAAGACAACCTCTGATTTTTGAGAAGATTTTCTTGGGTTAAAAAGTAGTCTTATATGCCAGAAAATACAGTAATCGGATCTTCCATAAGTTGTGTGGCTAAACTTCAACACATCCAGTATTGTCCCATATAAATTCAAGATATAATATATATAATGTGTATTATACTGGTATTCTCATCATTATTCTAATTAGTATTTTTTTGCTGAACGTTTATAGTAACAGGACATCTTTATATTTTCTCTGCATTCATAGATATCTGTGTAGTTAGTGTGTGATTTGTAGTTCACCTACAATCAAAGAGTGTTCTGAACTCCACCTACAATGGAATGAGCCAAATTTGGCACACAGAACTCCCATGACCAACAGAAAATACTGGAAGGGTTTGGTGGGCATTGACCTTGAGTTTTGGAGTTGTAGTTCACCTACATCCAGAGAGCACTGTGAACTCAATCAATAATGGATCTGGATCAAACGTGGCATGAATACTCAATATGCCCAAATGTGAACACTGGAGGAGTTGGGGAAAATGGAGCTTGACATTTGGGAGTTGTGGTTGCTGGGATTTATAGTTCACCTACAATGTAGTGCCCCCCACCAATGATAGAGAATTGGGCCAAACTTCCCACACAGAACCCCCATGACCAACAGAAAATACTGTGTTTTCCAATGCTATTTGGAAACCCCTTTGTCACCCCTCCCGACCCTCTTAGTGTCCCGACCTCCAGATTGAGAAAACTGATATGGAAGGTCCTGGACACAGTCCTAGCATCTCCAGTTAGAAGGATCTTGTAGTGAATTCCCTACCTGTTAGGCTAGGAAAAGCCTAGAAAAGTCGGCCCAGGAAGTTCGGCAACCATTTTGGAAAGGGTGCTGGGGGAATCCATTTTAGATACTCATTTCCTGAAGGGGGCGTGGCTAGAAAGAGCAGCTTTGGAGGGAAATGAGGGAAGACTGTGATTGGCTGAGTGAGTGTGGGCGGAGCTTAACTTGGAAAAAGAAAAAAAATGACTTTAAGGGCAATTTGAAACCCTGTCAGGCAGATTGACTGTGGGTGTCAGAAGAGATTGACTGTGGGTGTCAAAGAAGGAGTGGGGAGATAGGAGTGGTGAAGGGTTAGTGAGAGAGGCCTGAAATTGGTCAGTTGGCTAGCAGAGATAGCTATGAGAAGATTTTTACAGCTATTAGGGATATAGCTGGTGGAGGAGTGAAGAGATAGATCCAGGATAGGTCTATTTGTGCTGGTGTTTAGAATTACTTTCAGAGAATAAATCCTGTCAGTAAATCCTGTGGAGGGAGAGAGATGCGTTCCTGTGTAACTAAGTCTGAACTGCTTGAAGTAACCACACGCTTTTAAGTCAATATTTTGAAACAGCTAAGCTTTATACCGGAATTGTTCCAGTTCCAGTTCTAAATAAACATCATTGTTTTGTTGTTCACAACATCTGGCTCACGTGTGCCTCTGTGGGTGAAGTTTTAAAAGCAGTTTCCTGCAGCAATCAAGAGTCTATGGTGGCAACGTATATCTTAAAGAACAATCTTTTAGTGTTATCTCAGAAACACAAGCCTGAGGGCTAGTCCAACACACTCATGCCTAGATATTTCTAGTAAGCTAAGGGCTTATTAGTGCTTTTAACTTTGGTGGTGGCCAGAGGGTTTTCAAAAGGTTTTTTTGGCCAGAAGAAAGTTCCAGCTTTCCTTACAGCTTTTTGTTTTGGGCTTTTAATCACAGAAGCCTCATTCCAATCACATTTGGTGCTCAGCGTTTTGGGACATTTTCCTTCAAATAAGTCCGCACCTATTACAGATCTCAAGTAATGGATGTGGAAAAACTCTCGTTGGAGAATCCGGGGAGAGCCATCACAGTCTAGTGCAGGCATGGGCAAACTTGGACTTCAACTTCTACAGTTCTCAACAGCTGGTTTAGTGGTTTGAGTGTCGGATTCTGGCTCTGTGGTGCACAGTTCAAATCCCCATTTAACCATGGAAGCTTACTGGATGGTTTTGGGCAAGTTACATTTTCTCAGCCTCAGAACAAAAGCAAGAAAACTCATGATAACCTTGCCTTAGGGTTGCTAGAAATTGGAAATAACTTGAAGACACACAGCAATACAAATCTGCTGTAGAACCTTTTGATAAAGGAGAAATAAGGCAAGATCCTGACTTGGTACAAAACACTACATCTTAGTAGATGTGAAAAAAATAATTTTGTTGTCTCCTTCTTTCCTACCCTCCCCTTTCTGCATAGTACAACATATTCAAATGCCGAATCCTGAATGAGAAAGTCGACACGCCAACAACAACGGTGTATAGGTAAAAATATGTATGTGTATGTGTGTGTATATATATATATATATATATATATATCATTTATGTTTTGATTTTATATTCAAGGATGATGCCTAAATTAATAAATGATAGTTAGATGTGTTGTTGAAGGCTTTCATGGCCGGAATCACTGGGCTGCTGTGAGTTTTCCAGGCTGTATGGCCATGTTCCAGAAGCATGCTCTCCTGACGTTTTGCCCACATCTATGGCAGGCATCCTCAGAGGTTGTGAGGTCTGTTGGAAACTAGGCAAGTGAGGTTTATATATCTGTGGAATAATGTCCTGGTTGGGAGAAAGAACTCTTATCTGCTTGGGGCAAGTGTGAATGTTGGATGGTTTTAAATGGTGTATTTTAATATTGAGATAAATGTTTTTAATGTTTATGTATGTGTATTTGAATTAAATACTTGCCGTATATATGCTGTGCTCTGCCCTGAGTCCCCTTCGGAATGAGAAGGGTGGAATATAAATGTTTTAAATAAAGAAATAAAGAAATAAATGACAGACTTGATTAGCATTTAATAATAATAATAATAATAACAACAACAGCAACAACAACAACACTTTATTTATATTCCGCCCTTTTCACCCCGAAGGGGACGCAGGGCAGATACCCCGAAGGGGATGCAGGGCAGACGCAGGTACACATACACGCCAAACATTAAATGCCGCTTTGTATAGACAATACACAAACAGACAGAACAGAAGGAGGTGCCATGGAAGGTTGGGCTCGAATCCAGGGGGTGCTGTTTCTCTATCCTCTATGACAAAGAGCCTCTTTCCTTTTGGTCGCCCAGCATTTTCTGCTCTGTTCTTTATGGCGTCATAAAACACCTCCTCTGCTTTTAGCTCCTCTGCTAATCACAGCTAAAGCTATTTTCGAATTGCTTAGGTAAACAATGAGCTAGGCTGACAGTTGGCAGCACACGCCAACCCAGGGATTTCAAACTTGCAACCTTTCGGTTGATAGATCCTATAACTATCTATCCTCTATGCAAAACCACATATATACACATATACAGAAATATATACATACATATGCACACACAAAAACATACACAGAAAGGGGGAAGGAAGGAAGAAGAGAAAGAGGGAAAGAAGGAGGGAAGGAGAGAGAGAAAGAAAGGTAGAGAAGGAAGGAAGGAGAGAAAGAAATAAAGGAAAGGAAAAAGAAGGAAGGAAAAGAGGAGAAAGAGGGAGGGAGGAGAGGGAGGGAGGGAGGGAAGGAGAGGGAGGGAGGGAGGAGGGGGAGGGAAGGAAGGAAGGAAGGAAGGAAGGAAGGAAGGAAGGAAGGAAGGAAGGAAGGAAGGAAGAGAAGGAAGGATGGATGAAGAAGGAAAGAAGGAAGGAAAGAAGAGAAGAGAAGGAAGGAAGAAGAGAAGAAAGAAAAAGAGGGAAGGAAGGAAAGAAAGAGGTGAAAGGGTCTTTGAGTGAAATTTGCAAATGCTAAGCAAGGGGCTTTGAATGAAATTAACGGCAAAAGAAAAATATACCCTTTCTCTGTAGAAAAGGAGCAACACAGAAGAAAATGCTTTTAAGAAACAAGATGTGACATGTAGAGGGCAGAAGTGTTGTGGTTAAGCGCAGAATCTGCAGGTACAAGAAGGTACTTTCCATCAAACGGTCAAGTGAGAGGGGCTGGAAAGAGAGTACTTTCCATGACCTATTACTTGAGTATAAAAGTCAGCAGAAAAAGAGGAGGGGGCGGCAGTCACTTGAAGGGTAGCATCTACATAGGCTGCCAGGCTGTCCGTCTTCTTCATGAAAAAACTAAAATAAACCTTGTTTTTTTATCTTTTTTGGGACTGCCTCCTTCCTTACGTGTTCCCATGATGTGGACCTAAGAAGACCCAATTTAGGGTCTCTAACAGAGGGAGGGAATGAAGGAGAGAAAGAAAAAAGGAGAGAAAGGGGAGGGAAGGAAGGGAACCAAAGAGCAAAGGAAGCAAGAAAGGAAACAGGTAATAAATTTCAACACAGGATTTTGGTATTTTATTATTCTTTTAGTTGTTATTTTCTTTATTATTTATTATTTTTCTACTTTTTAGAGGGATAGCAGAAGAGAAAGAAAAAGGGGAAGGAAAGAGATAGAGAAGGAAGGAAGAAGAGAAGGAAAGATGGGAAGGAAGGAAGGAGGGAATGAAGGAAGGAGGGAAAGAAGGAGAGAAAGAGGGAAGGTTGGCCACAGCAAAGCGTGGCAGTTACAGCTAGTTTTTAATAATAAAGAAAATCTGTTCCTGGTTTGAAAGTCTTATTTCCTGTTTCATCCTGTTTTAAAGACAACTATTTACAGGCCCAACGCGTGACAGAACAGTCTCTATTCTGCAGGTCTGCATCATCTGCCAGAGGCTACAATGATCTACATATATAAATCTGTTAGGTTGGTTCAACGGGACAGCAAAACTCCACAACCCCCCAACGAAACTGCACCAAAATTGCCATGCCCATAACACAACCCACAAGGTACAAACATATCTACTCAAAATGAAAAACAACACAACACACTCACAAAATGGCAAAACAACTAAACTAAAAAAAAACCCCAATGAAACTTAACCAAAATTGCCATGCCCATAACACAACCCACAAGGTACAAACATATCTACTCAAAATGAAAAACAACACAACAACACACTCACAAAACGGCAAAACAACAAAACTCAAAAAAACAACGAAACTTAACCAAAATTCCCATGCCCATAACACAACCCACAAGGTACAAACATATCTACTCAAAATGAAAAACAACACATCAACACACTCACAAAACGGCAAAACAACAAAACTCAAAAATCCCCCAACAAAACTTAACCAAAATCCCCGTGCCCATAACACAACCCACAAGGTACAAACATATCTACTCAAAATGAAAAACAACACAACAACACACTCACAAAACGGCAAAAGAACAAACTCAAAAAAACCCAACGAAACTTAACCAAAATTCCCATGCCCATAACACAACCCAAAAGGTACAAACATATCTACTCAAAATGAAAAACAACACAACAACACACTCACAAAACGGCAAAACAACAAAAACAAAAAACCCAACGAAACTTAACCACACACACACACAAAACCCCACGCTCTATCACTCCCCCGCCGCCGCACACACACACACAACCCCACGCTCCATCACTCCCCCTGCCGCCGCACACACACACGCAACCCCACGCTCCATCACTCCCCCCGCCGCGCACACACACACGCAACCCCACTCCCCCCGCCGCCGCACACACACACACGCAACCCCACGCTCCATCACTCCCCCCGCCGCCGCACACACACACAACCCCACGCTCCATCACTCCCCCCGCCGCCGCACACACACACGCAACCCCACTCCCCCCGCCGCCGCACACACACGCAACCCCACGCTCCATCACTCCCCCCGCCGCCGCACACACACACACAACCCCACGCTCCATCACTCCCCCGCCCCAATCTTACCTCCTTTTACTTCACGCCACCTCCAAACCCCACCCTGCCCCTTCCCGCCCTGTCAAAATCCAGGAAAGACGGGAAGGAAGGAAAGAAGGAAGAAAGAGAAAGGGAGGGAAAGAAAAAGGGGGAAGGAAGGAAAGTTAGAGAAAGAAGGAAGAAGAAAAGGAAAGAAAAGGAAAGATGGAAGGAGAGAAAAGAGAGACAACAGAAGAGAAAGAAAAAGGGGGAAGGAAGGAAGAGGTAGAGAAGGAAGAAATGAGGGAAAGAGGGAGGGAAAGAAAAAGGGGGAAGGAAGGAAGGAGAGAAGGAAAGAAAAAAGGGAATGAAGGAAGGAGAGAAGGAAAGAAAAAAGGGAATGAAGGAAGGAAAGAGGGAGTGAAGGAAGGGCGAAGATGTAGAGAAAGAGGGAGGGAAGGAAAGAAGGAAAGAGAGAAGGAAGAAAAGAGACCAGAAGAGAAAGAAAAAGGGGGAAGGAAGGAGAGAAGAAAAAAGGGAATGAAGGAAGGAAAGAGGGAGTGAAGGAAGGGGAAGATGTAGAGAAAGAGGGAGGGAAGGAAAGAAGGAAAGAGAGAGAAGAAAAGAGACCAGAAGAGAAAGAAAAAGGGGGAAGGAAGGAAGGAGAGAAGAAAAGAAAAAAGGGAATGAAGGAAGGAAAGAGGGAGTGAAGGAAGGGGGAAGATGTAGAGAAAGAGGGAGGGAAGGAAAGAGAGAAGGAAGAAAAGAGACCAGAAGAGAAAGAAAAAGGGGGAAGGAAGGAAAGAGATAGAGAAGGAAGAGGAGAAGGAAAGATGGGAGGGAAGGAAGGAGGGAAGGAAAGAAGGAGAGAAAGAGGGAAGGTTGGCCACAGCAACACGTGGCGGGTAAAGGTTGTTATTTCTATTATTATTATGCTATTGTTCCTATGAGACCCTTTTAGGGGGAATGGGAGAGGTGTCAGGTCCCAGAGGCAATGCATTGCATTATTGTTATTGTTATGATGGTGGTGAAATAAAAGGAAATAAAATGTGAAAGAAGGAAGCAAACAGGGAGGGAAGAAAGGCAAAGGAAGAAAGGGGGAGGGAATGAAGGAAAGAGAGAAGGATGAAACCAAGTAGTGAAAGGAAAGAAAGAAAGAAAGAAAGAGGTAGAGAAGGAAGAAAGGAGAGAAAGGGGGAGGAAAAGGGGGAAGGAATAGGTAGGTACCTCTCTTTCATAATAGTCCAGATATCTACCTCAACTTTGATAAGTTTTACTATAGGCCACAGCAACGCGTGGCAGGGCACAGCTAGTTCAGTATAAAGCAATTACATGTGCAACCGAATGTACAGGGTTAGTCAAAATGAATAGGCCAATAAGAAAATTAATTTTAGACAAATGTATGTTTACTGTAACCAAACTACAGCTACGTAGCGACAGATAAACTATCAAAGTTTTGTCTCACCTTCAGAGATGTTCGATATGGGCGCCCCGTGTGACACGGCAGATGTCCAAGCGATAGTCCAGTTCATTCCACATCCGTTGCAGCACATCCGACGTAATGGCATCGAATGCAGCAACGTCTGGGAAGGTGTTCGTTGAGGTCCTAACCCTAACCCTAACCCTAACCCTATCCCTAACCCTAACCCTATCCCTAACCCTAACCCTAACCCTATCCCTAACCCTAACCCTAACCCTAACCCTAACCCTAACCCTAACCCTAACCCTAACCCTTGAAATTCTCGCTGGACCGTAATTACTGACATTGTTTTAGCAAATGTCATCACACAAACGCCTTCTCTTTGCTTGATTCCGCCATTTTGAAAACAGCGACCCCTAGCGACGCCTAGCGGCATTAACGTACATGTGTGTTGCTCAAAAAAAACTTTGATAGTTTATCTGTCGCTACGTAGCTGTGGTTTGGTTACAGTAAACATACATTCGTCTAAAATTAATTTTCTTATTGGCCTATTCATTTTGACTAACCCTGTATTATCTTTCAATTGGCTATTAATCTGAGCATAATAGATGTCATATTTTTATCAGTGTACCCGAAGCAAATTCTGTCTGAACCATCTCTCTCAATAGATGTGGTCCATTGATTGACTTATGCAGAGGCCCTCATGTGAGACACACTGGAAAAATCAAGGCCTTGAAGGTTTTTAAGGTAACGGGGACTTTCTAAAATTGGACTTTTATTAATTGAATAAAACTTGTGGTCTTTTCAAAGTGGTGTTCCTCAGGTCTGGGAAACGGCCCCCGGATTGTCACATGCGCTGCAGAGCCTAAATTAAGAAAGGCTGCTATTGAAAGTTTCATCTAACTTCAGTTTTATTTTTTAAAGTGACTCAGGAAATATCAAAGGAATTAACATCTGTAAAGGAAATATCTGTCCTCTACACGGAGGGGAACCGCTAATCTGTTCAGGCAGGCAGGCTTTCTGGCCTCTTTGTAGCTCCTGGTACTTTCTTGCCAAGAGGATGGCACTGTTGCTTGATTTACATTTTATTTTTGAGTCCCGGAATCTGAACTCCCAAGCCGACAGCAGTGTTTCGCTTTGAGAAAACGAGGCGCATTCTGCTGGTGCAATCCTCCTGTCTTAGCAGATCAGCTTCCAGATGTTTCCCTTGTTGTGTTGCATCCCTGATCCATAATTTAAGGTGACAAAAAGAGGCAAATCTTCAAAGAAGTGGGGACAGGAGGTGGCAGTGCTGAAAATTGGGATGGTCAGATGTTCTCCCAGAACGATATTTATGTATTCTTCGGTGGGTCAGACCCAGATTTCTGCTTTTGACAGCAGTCAGCCAGGTGCCTTTGGGAGCTGGTGAAGCTGGGCACAGTTGTCCTTGCTTTGTTTGTCCCTGCAGCATCTAATATTCAGAGTCGATTATCTCGAAACATTGCAGTGCATTTCCACTGAAATGCAGCCCTTGATTAGTAAGTTTTGGCAGTTGTATCATGTGAATGGGCCCCCGGTGGTACAGCGGGTTAAATCGCTGAGCTGCTGAACTTGCTGACTGAAAGATTGGCAGTTGAAATCCAGGGAGTGGGGTGAGCTCCCACTGTTAACCCCAGCTTCTTTTTTAAAATTATTTTTATTAAAGATTTTTCAGATAACATTAAAAAGAGGGGGAACATATCAGGTGTAGAGGAAAGTAGGAAAGTGGAGAAATAGGAAAAGATTCGGTAGGTATTAGGGGTAGGTCTGGGGGTGAGGGGGTGGGTATGGGGAGGGTAAGGTAGGGATGGTTGAAGTCTTCCAGTCCATTCTTCAGGGAGATATCCTTTCTATGTTACATTTATTTTCTTAATTTTCACTACCTATTTGTTTATAATAAAATTTATAATAATGATGGAAATGTTGGAAGGAACATGGATCATATTACCATTTATGGTGGGGCTGTAAAGTAACTAAAAAGTACTGGAAAGAAATTCATAAACACGCACAAAACATCATTAAAATAAAATATGACTTGAAGCCTGAGTACAACAACACTCATCTCCATTTCTAAGCCAAAGAGCCAGCGTTGTCCATAGACACCTCCAAGGTCATGTGGCCGGCATGACTGCATGGAGCGCCGTTACCTTCCCGCAGAAGCGGTACCTATTGAACTACTCACATTTGCATGTTTTCAAACTGCTCCATTTCCAGAATCTGGGGCTAACAGCAGGAGCTTACCCTGCTCCCTGGATTTGAACCTCCAACTTTTTGGTCAGCAAGTTCGGTAGTTCAGCGATTTAACCCTGCTGCACCCCAGGGGGCCCTTATACATACATTATACATACATTAACAAACAAACAGTGAAGGCTTGGAAGGTTGCCATTTCCAACACTCAATGTCACCATAAAGAGCTCAGATGATCAGATGGCAAAATCATACATTTTTTCTTGAGCATCACTTACATTTAACCCAAATTTGCGATCACGTTTTATACAACAGAATTCATCCACCTATTGGGAGGGCAAAGCCGACATGGAAACACTGCAGAGAATTTACGGAATATCTTTCCCAGACAACAAAATGATGAAGGAGTGGGAAAAATTCCAGGAGGAGGCAAAAAACCGGGATCACAGAAAAATTGGAAAGGTAGAATTTTGATTTTTAAGTTACGCTGTTAACAATAAACAGAAATGAGTCTCACATAGTTCCTGAAGTGAACCATAGAAATGTTGTGTCGGTGTGTCATGTTATCTGATGTGAAAATTGCTTATAGTTTAAACCAGGGGTCCTCAAACTAAGGCCCAGGCTCAAAATCCGTAAGTTTATTCTGCATTGTCATAATCCTATTCAATTCTAGTCGTCATTGTCCTTTGTTTGTCTGCCAGATTACCCAAAGGCCTGGTCCCATATCCATGCTTTTAGTTTCCTTCTAAACGAGAGGAGGGATGTCGATGACCTAATTTCCCCAGGAAGCAAGTTCCACAGGCTAGGGGCCACCACCGAGAAGGCCCTGCTCCTCGTCCCCTCCAATCTCACTTGTGATAGAGGTGGGGCCGAGAGCAGGGCCTCCCCAGAAGATCTTAAACTCCGAGGTGGGATGTAGAAGGAGATGCGTTCGGACAGGTACGCTGGGCCGGAGCCACATAGGGTTTTGTAGGTCAAAACCAGCACTTTGAATTGTGCTTGGAACTGGATTGGAACTAGACTTTCCCTCACATATTTATGCATGGCTATCATGCCTCTTCTCAATCTTCACTTCTGCAGACTAAAGATCCCCAGCTCTTTAAGTTGCTCCTCATAGGGCTTGTTCTCCAGACACTTGATCGTTTTAATCGCCCTCCTCTGGACACATTCCAGCTTGTCAACATTACCGGAGAATTGAATGTATATTTGTGTAAATAAAGATACAATGCCGCTTGTGGTCAAAGCTGAATGGAGCAGTCCAGTATTTTTACCACTTTGAGCTTTCAAGTAGAACTTGGAAGGTTGAAGCAGCTGAAATAAGGATGGTGATTTATCTCAGTTTCCAACAGGTTGGACATAGGTTAGCAACATCCAACTGTCCTGTCGGATTCTATGAGTCTTTTCAATTAGAATTGAAGTATTGAATTGTCAAGCAATGAGTGACAGTATATTCCCATTCCTGCTTGATTTCTCTGCAGAAAAATTAGAGATTACTTACGTCCTTGTTTACTTCCTTTTCATCTCTTGTGGTTGTTTGTGTGGCTATAGGAACAAGAGCTCTTCTTCTTTCACGAACTGAGTCCTGGAAGCTGTTTCTTTCTCCCCAGAGGTGCTTTTCTTTATAATACACTCATCGAGTTTATCAAAGTGAGTCAATAGTTTAAGATCATTATACATAACTTTTTATGCAGGGAATGATTACTTTATTTATTTATTTATTTATTTATTTATTTATTGTATTATACTTAGAAACATACTGTAGTGAAATTGATACTCTATGTTAAAGTTTTGGTGTATAGCTCTATGTTTACATATGGCAAATAGGGGAGAATAGGCACAGACAGGGTAGCAACAGCAGAGATAGGATTCATGTGCATATGTGAAGCCGATTGGTCATATGCAGATTAGTGTAGGCCCAGGATTTGAAAAGGCTGCTAGGCCAAAATGACATTTGGGGAGAGCAGAGCTGAACATTCCAAAGGGGCGGAGCCAAGGCTCTGAAAGAGGCAGTTAGAGTGAGGGAGTTTGAAAATGACCCTTTGGAATCTGTGTGTGAAGAGAAGAGTTGGTTTTTGAGTGCCTGATAGAAATAAGCAGTTATGAAGATGTGTTAAAGACTTCTGATATAGAGAAGCAGTTAGTTAAATAGAGCTCGAGTTTTAAGGAACATAAAGAAGGCTAGTGTTGCCTTAGTTCAGAATATAATTCAGCCAAGAGTGTGTAAAGCAAGTAACATGTTTGTGAATGTGAAACATTGATAGTTTATTCAGAAAAGTTAACCAAGTAAATGATACTGACTGTAAGCCTCAAGATTGCAACAAAACACAAATGTAACCACAAGCGTTGGAGCCAGAAGTTATGAATAAACCGTGTTACTTTGTTATACACAAGAGTGTTTCATTGCCTGTGTTATAAAGTACAAAGGTTTAACAGCATACAGAAAGTCTCAGCCAATATAAAAGAAGAAACTGAACCAATATAAGGCGGCAAAGTGTTTTTTTTAAAGAGGAAATAGTCTCTCTCCCTCACCACACATACCATCTTTGAAATTAGCATTCAAAATACCAGTATTTTCGTCAATCCCACCACCACAACACACACACACCCACGCCCAGGAACAGTTAAGTACTTTTGCTGTGTTTGTTACAATTGTTCAATCATGAGAATAGTCTTATTTAACAGCGTATATTTATCTATCCCCCTTTATTCTGTAAATGAGACCCTTCCATTTTGCTTCCCATGTCCTTCTGCTTTGACCCGTTGTATAGTAACTTTTCCTTTTGCTAATATAATTTTGGAGAAGGTAATCGGCTAGATATTTATACCAAGTTTTTATATATCCCATTTCCTGTGGTCCTTCCATCCCAGGGCCAATGAGGCTTTGATTGCCTCTATCATGTGACAGACACACACACACAAAACCAGCGGAACAGACTTAAAAACCTAAAAAAAATTACACCATATATACATATACACATATGTATGCACAAGCACACACAAATATACACATATGCACACATACATATACATACACACATATTTACATATACACATACACACATATACACAAATATGCATATAGACAAGCACACACATATAGACAATATGCACATTCACATATAAACACATGAAAATATACACTCATATATACATATACACATGAATACACAAACATGCACATATACACACATATATACATGCACACACATATACATACACACATATATACACACAAATATGCATATAGACAAGCACACACATATAGACAATATGCATATACACATATAACCACATGAATATATACAGACATATATACAGAAATATATAAACACACATAAACACATGTGTATATGCATATACACACATATACACAGACTGGGCCACAGCAACGCGTGGCAGGAGACGGCTAGTTCTTCTTCTTATTATCATCATCATCATCATCATCTATCACTTACTAAAAAAATTAGATTCACAACTTTTCTTTTTTACTCACAGGAAGAATATAACCGACGTAACTTCACCGAAGTTGTGTCTCCAAATGTCTATAACATTAAGCTCTGGGAAACATCTGGTCATTGGCAACACTATCATGAAAACATGTTTTCTTTTGAGGCTGAGAAAGAAAAGTTTGCCTTGAAACCAATGAACTGTCCTGGACACTGGTTTGTGATTCTTCTCATTATTGTTTCCAATTAAGTTTAGTAATTGTAAAAATGCAAAAAATAAAAATTAGAAAGAAAAGCAAGATCCAAGTGGGACATGTATATAAAGTGGAGTCGAATATGGTTGTTTGGCCTAAGAAACTGATTTAACAACATCTCTTTTAGCCTGATGTTTGCCCATCGCCCCCGTTCCTGGAGGGAGCTGCCTTTAAGACTTGCCGACTTTGGGGTTCTTCATCGGAATGAACTTTCAGGGACTCTGAGTGGTTTGACTCGGGTTCGCCGCTTCCAGCAGGATGATGCCCATATTTTTTGTACAATGGAGCAGGTGAGAATCTCTGTTGGAAGCTATTGGGTGAGTGGACTTATTAACAAAAGACCCTCCTCATAAATGTACAGCAGAGTAACTTATCAAGAGCAGCGTGACCGAACACCAGTAGCCAAAAGAGATAAAAAGAACAAAAACCACACAGACCAATGTTATCTCTTCCTTAGGAGGCTTCTCTTTGTAGTAAAATAATATAGTTGCACTATTTACAATAACAAGGTTTCCAAACACAAATAAAATTACTTTATATACTCGAGTATAAGCCTAGTTTTTCAGACCTTTTTTAGGCTGAAAAAGTCCCCCTCGGCTTATACTCAAGTCAAGGTTATTTATTATTTTACTCTGTTTTAAATACATAATAAATGCATTATTATTATTAAATTTATTATTTTACTTTATTATTATTGTTGTTATTATTGCATTTATTATTTTACTCTATTTATTATTATTGTTAATAGTACATTTCCATTATATTACTCTATTATTATTATTATCTTTATTATTTTAATCTATTGATTTTTATTGGAAGGATACACAAGCACATTTACATTGAAGGTCAGAATGATTTAATCATAGAATCATAGAATCAAAGAGTTGGAAGAGACCTCATGGGCCATTCAGTCCAACCCCATTCTGCCAAGAAGCAGGAATATTGCATTCAAATCACCCCTGACAGATGGCCATCCAGCCTCTGTTTAAAAGCTTCCAAAGAAGGAGCCTCCACCACACTCCGGGGCAGAGAGTTCCACTGCTGAACGGCTCTCACAGTCAGGAAGTTCTTCCTCATGTTCAGATGGAACATCAGAGTTGGGCAGTCTTATCTTAAATATTCAAAAACATTTAACCTCTTGATGCCTAAATTAATGTAATTTTATTTGTATCTATTTTTATTTTGAAATTTACCAATAGCTGCATTTCCCACCCTCGGCTTATACTCGAGTCAATCCATTTTCCCAGTTTTCTGTGGTAAAATTAGGTGCCTTGGCTTATATTTGGGTCGTCTTATACTGGAGTATATACGATATTTATACTTTCTTCTTTGCTTCGACACTAAGTGTCAAGTTCAGACGCCAGCCAATTCAGATAATAAAGTTAATTGCTCAAACAAACTCAAAACAGCCTCAAATCAGTCTACAAGGCATAAAACACTTAATCTTCAGTGTGAAACAACTCAAAAGACAAAAAGCCACCAAAAAACTAAACCAGAATATAATCTGGATTATCCAGAGATATAATCCAGATTAAACTTAAAATGCTTCAATTCAGCTCAGACTTGCTCCATCAAACGACTGGAGCAAGAAAACTTCTTTCTCTTGCAGATAATCAGATTTGCTTTCACAGAGCCTCTTCTCACACCAAACTTACACAGGAGCTTCACACAGTAGCTTTACACATAGCAGCCTTCACACTGGAACTTTACACATGATGACCTTCAACCTGGGGCTTCTCTCACCAGGCCTACTCACACTGAGGCCTTTCTCACACTGAGGCTTTTCTCACACTGAGGCCTTTCTCACACTGAGGCCTGTCTCACACTGAGGCCTGTCTCACACTGAGGCCTGTCTCACACTGAGGCCTTTCTCACACTGAGGCCTGTCTCACACTGAGGCCTGTCTCACACTGAGGCCTGTCTCACACTGAGGCCTTTCTCACACTGAGGCCTTTCTCATACTGAGAGCTGTCTCAGACTGACACCTCCTAACACTGAGGCCTACTAAACTACAGACACACCTGCTTATATAGAACTATAGCTTTCGCTGAGTCATTGCATCCATTTAACTCTTTCAGTGCTTGACTTACATTTTTGTAGTTAAAAACACCTCGTTAATTTTTAGTATTTCTGACAGAAGTTTCAATTATTTTTATCAACTGTAAGATTGCAACCAGCTAAGGAGCATTGCCTCACCTTCACGCTAAGGAAGTGATGGCTTTTATGCAAGACCTGTCTTTAGTTTTGGCATTTCCTGTTATTATAAAATGTTTACTTTTTAAATTTTTAGATCGAAGAGGAGATGAAAGGCTGCCTGAACTTCTTACAGTCTGTATATTCTGTGTTTGGTTTTACTTTTCAACTCTATCTTTCCACAAGACCAGAAAACTTCTTAGGGGAGAAGGAAGTTTGGGACCAGGCAGAAAAGGTGAGACAGAAAGAGATTTAATACTACGTTGTTGAAGGCTTTCATCACTGGAATCACTGGGTTTCGGAGAGTTTTCCAGGCTGTCTGGCCATGTTGCAGAAGCCTTCTCTCCTGACGTTTCACCCACATCTATGGCAGGCATCCTCAGAGGTTGTGAGATCTGTTGGAAACTAGGAAAATTGGGTTTATATATGTCCAGGGCAGGAGAAAGAACTCTTCACTGCTTGAGGCACGTGTGAATGTTGCAATTTGGCACCTTGATTAGCATTGAATGGCCTTGCAGCTTCAAGATCTGGCTCGTTGCTGCCTGGGAGAATCCTTCGTTGGGAGGTGTTAGCTGGCCTTGATTGTTTCCTGTCTGGTATTCCTCTGAATGTAGCTCTTAATTTACCGTCCTGATTTTAGAGTTTTTTAAACTCTAAAACAGCGGTTCTCAACCTTCCTAATACTGTGACCCCTTAATGCAGTTCCTCATGTTGTTGTGACCGCCAACCACATGTTTTTTGTTGCGACTTCATAACTGTAATTTTGGGTTGTTGTAGGTTTTTTTGGGCTATATGGCCATGTTCTAGAGGCATTCTCTCCTGACGTTTCGCCTGCATCTATGGCAAGCATCCTCAGAGGTAGTGAGGTCTGTTGGAAGTAGGAACTCTTGCCTGATTGAGGCTACTGTGGATGTTGCAACTGGCCACTTTGATTAGCACTGAATAGCCTTGCAGCTACAAAGCCTGGCCGCTTCTTGCCTGGGGGAATCCTTTGTTGGGAGGTGTTAACTGGCCTTGATTGTTTCCTGTATGGAATTCCCCTATTTTCTTAGTGTTCTTTATTTACTGTCCTATTTTAGAGTTTTTTTAAATACCGGTAGCCAGATTTTGTTCATATTCATGGTGTCCTCTTTTCTGTTGAAATTGTCCTCATGCTTGTGGATTTCAGTGGCTTCTCTGTGTGGCCTGACATGGTGGTTGTTACAGTGGTTCAGCAATTCAGTGTTCTCAAATAATATGCTGTGGGCGAAACATCAGGAGAGAATGCTTCTGGAACATGGTCAGACAGCCCGGAAAACTCACAGCAAGTCAGATTTAATACTAATTTAACACTCAAATGTTGTTCTGTTCTGTTCCTGAATGAAGTTTGGACCTAATACTTTATTCAGTATTGAACACATGTGTTACTGCTATTATATAAGTTTTATTCATGCTAAATTATGCAGCAGGTGGCAGAGGCCCAGTCTATATAAATAAAAACATAATGTTAGTTTGTGGGATTAACAGAACTCAAAAACCATTGGATGAACTGACACCAAATTTGGACGGCTTACACCTAACAACCCAATGTATGTCCTTCACTCAAAAAAAATGATTTTGTCATTTGGGAGTTGTAGTTGCTGGGATTTATAGTTCACCTACAATCAAAGAGCATTCTGAACCCCACCAACGATGGAATTGAACCAAACTTGGCACACAGTTCTCCCATGACCAACAGAAAATACTGGAAGGTTTTGGTGAGCAGTGTCCTTTGGTTTGGAGTTGTAGTTCACCTACATCCAGAGATCACTGTGGACTCAAACAATGATGGATCTGGACCAAACTCTACATGAATATTCAATATGCTCAAATGTGAACACTGGTGGAGTTTGTGGAAAATAGAATCTTGACATTTGTGAGTTGTAGTTGCTGGGATTTATAGTTCACCTACAATCACAGAGCATTTTGAACCCCACCAACGATAGAATCGGGCCAAACCTCCCACACAGAACCCCCATGTGGGCCACAGCAACGCGTGGCAGGGGACGGCTAGGTGGCTATAAAAGCATAGCACTGGAGGGCAAATCCTTCATAACCGTGGCACTTATGTAACTGGTACTTAAACATTTTTCTTCTTCTTAGCAACTTCAAAACAGTCTGGATGACTTTGGGGAGCCTTGGAAGCTAAATCCCGGAGACGGAGCATTTTATGGTCCCAAGGTTAGTAAAACTGCATCTGAAATTATGCTCTTACTGAAGATTTCAGTTGTGAAAAATATTCTAATTACTGTCAATGTGGATCTTTGTAGATTGATATTAACATCAGGGATGCCATTGGGCGCTACCATCAGTGTGCTACGATCCAGCTTGACTTCCAGCTGCCCCTCAGGTTTAATCTCACATATGTAGGGTAAGTTTGCAAAGAGAGAGACTACAGGTAGTCAATGTGTTGTCGAAGGCTCTCGTGACCGGAATCACTGGGTTGCTGTGAGTTGTTTGGGCTGTCTGACGATGTTCCAGAAGCATTCTCTCCTGACGTTTTGCCCACATCTATGGCAGACATGCTTAGAGGTGGAGGGATCTGTTGGAAACAAGGCAAGTCAGGTTTATATATCTGTGAAATGTCCAGGGTGGGAGAAAGAACTCTTATCTGCTTGAGGTTGGTGTGAATGTTGTAATTGATGAACTTGATTAGCATTTAATGCCCTTGCAGCTTCAAAACCAGGATGCTTTCTGTCTGGGGGAATCCTTTATTGGGAGGTGTTAACTGGCCCTGATGCTTTCATGTCTGGAATTCCTCTGTTTCCTGACTGTTGTTCCTTATTTAGTGTCCTGATTTTGGAGTTTTTAAAATACTGGTAGCCAGATTTTGTTCATTTTCATGGTTTCCTCCTCATTATCATTATCATTAATAATTATTATCATTGAGCATAATACTCCTGACCTCACAATCGTGTCTGCTGTGAACTCATAATAATAAGGTCATCATCATCATCATCATCTTAGACTTTCTAGGCAGATAGAGCCGGTCAAAATCACTGCGAGGCTGTAGTGAATTGTGTTTTTGTGTCAGTAAAATAATAATAAACTTAATTTATAACCCCCCTCCATCTCCCCAAAGGGGACTCAGGATGGCTAACATGAGACTGAACCCAAAAACAATACAGCAAAATTAGACACAGTATTTCATGTCTTCTCTTTGTTGATTTCTCTTTCATAGAAAAGACAGAGATGACAAGAAGAGGCCGGTTATAATCCATAGAGCTATTCTGGGGTCGGTGGAACGAATGATTGCTATTCTAGCAGAAAACTATGGTGGAAAATGGTACGTAGGATGATGTATAGTAATTAGGGAGAGATTTCGGAGTAGCATGGAGTAGAAGGCTCCTGTGACCGGAGTGCAAACTGCAGGAGTCTGAAGCAGTTTTGCCCCATTAAACTCATTGGGGTTAAATACATTGGATTTCAATTGATTTGGGCTCAGTGTTGCTAAGGTTTGCTCACTGCGATCCTTATTTTGGCCAGGCCTTTCTGGCTCTCTCCCCGGCAGGTGATGGTAGTTCCTGTTGGCACAGCCAGTGAAGAATATGCTCAGCAGGTAAGGCCTCCGTCTTCGCAGAAAATGGACAAAATCAACCCCGTGTTTACATTAGGTGAAATGTTCTGAATGATAACAAGGATATATATTTATTTTATTTTATGTGTGTGTGTGTCTGTGTGTGTGTATCTATATATATATAAATGCTCTGTGCATAATGAGTACCTTAAAAACAAAAGAACCAATGAACGAAATCACACCAAATTTGGCAACAAAACATCTCACAACACAAGGAGTGACCATCACTCAAAAATTTTTGATTTTGTCATTTGAGAGTTGTAGTTGCTGGGATTTATAGTTCACTTACAATCAAAGAGCATTCTGAACTCAATCAACGATGGAATTGAAACAAACATGACACACAGGACTCCCATGACCAACAGAAAATACTCGAAGAGTTTGGTGGGCATTGATCTTGAGTTTGGGAGTTGTAGTTCACCTACATCCAGAGAGCACTGTGGACTCAAACAATCCCTCCTCCCAGTCGTAAGATACGGTCCTACAAGGGCCAGAAAAATAGTACAGGTCAATAACTGGCTTAGAAAATGGTGTCAGGAGGAATGCCATGGCCTGCTTTTCCAGGAGGATGGCCTACTGGCAAGGGATGGGGTGCATCTCACACAAGTAGGAAAACACCTTTTTGCTCACAGACTCGCAAAACTCATTAGGCGCACTTTAAACTAGGTCCACCGGGGGAGGGGGACAACAGCCTTGCGAACACTACTTTACCCATAATGTCAGGGAACCGCCAGAAGGCTAAACGGAGGGCTGCACAAACACAACGAGGACCAAAGCACAATAATCCCAATTAAACAGCTCAGGGGAAGATCTCAGGGGCTCACATGTCTTTACACTAATGCACAGAGCATGGGAAATAAACATGCTTGCCTTTATACCAAGGGGGCGTTTGAATGTCATCTACAGTTTTGGCCTGGAGATAATAATCTGAAGCGATAATATCATCCAATTTTTTGCCCTCTTAGGTGTGCAGTGACTTCTTTGAGGCTGGCTTCATGGCAGACGTTGATCTAGATCAGAGCTGCACTTTGAACAAGAAGATAAGAAATGCTCAGCTGGCTCAGTATAATTTTATTTTTGGTAGGTGTTTTTGGCAAAATGATGCCATAACCTTTTGGCAAAATGTGAATGTGAATTGTGTCGCGAAAGGATTCAAGGAGACATATCCAAACCTCTTTTAAACATATATGAAACTCGTATGTATTATGGGCAAGAATGAAGTGGGGCGCAGGGGATAGTGCCACCTTGTCTCCTGCCTATGTGATCAGTTGGGGACCCCTCCCCTCAGCACCACCTGCTGCTCTGGGCCAGAGTGAAGAGAGAGGGGGCCAGAAGGCAATTCTACCTTGTCTTCTCTGCTAATAATTCTAATCTATGTATATAATAAAAGTCAGTGTTTGTATGCGGCGGACAGAAGTGCGGTGGAAGTGCGGCGGACGTAGGGCGGTGTGTGTTCCAGCTTTCTGATTGGCTGTCACTGTGGTGCTATTTGCATATGGTCTCTGATTGGCCAGCTTGAAAGTTCCAGGATTCTGAGGTGACAAGAGAGGAGAGAAAAAGGGCTGAGGCTGTGTCAGGAAATTACCAATACAGGCCAAACTTGGCACACAGAGCCCGCAAGACCCATTCTACATCCTACTGCAGTTTGGAGGAGGATGGACCATGGATGATGGGGCTTGCAGTACCAGCACTCACTTTCTGAGACTGCTGTGAACCTCATCCAATGACTGATCAAGACCAAACTTGGCACACTGAGTCTCCATGATGCACTCTACATCCTGGTGCGGTTTGGAGGAGGATGCACCATGGACGATGGGATTTGCAATACCTGCATTCCCTTCCTAAGACCAATACAACTGCCAACAATGATGGATCAGGACCACAATTCACACTGTGAGCCCGCATGACCCACTCTACATCCTGGTGCGGTTTGGAAGAATTTGGAGATGGATGATGGGACTTGAAGTAACTTTAGTTATTATTTATTTATTTATTTCAAAGTTTTCTATACCGAGCTTCTCACCTCGTTGAGGGACTCAGCTTCCTGAGACCACTGAGATCCTCGCCCATGACTGATCAAGACCAAACTTGGCACACAGAGCCCCCATGACCCACTCTACATCCTGGTGCACTTTCAAGGAGGACAGACCATGGATGATGGAACTTCAAGTACCTCCACTCCCTTCCCAAGACTGCTGCAACCCTCATCTAATGACCAATCAAGACCAAACTTGGCACACAGAGCCCCCTTGACCCACCCTACATCCCGGTGCTGTTTGAAGGAGGATGGATGATGGGACTTGCAGTACCTTCACTCACTTCCTGAAACCACAGCAACATTCATCCAAATACCAATAAAGATCAAACTTGTCACAGAGAGCTCCCATGGGACTCTCAATATTCTGGTGAGGTTTGGGGAGTACGGACTACGGATGATGGGACTTCAAGTACCTCCACTCACTTCCCAAGACTTCTGCAACATTCATCTAATGACCAATCAAGACCAAACTTGGCACACAGAGCCCCATGACCCACTCTCCATCCTGGAGCAGTTTGGAGGAGGATGGACCACAGATGATGGGACTCGCAGTACCTTCACTAACTTCCTGAGACCACTGTGAGCCATACAAATAACTGATAAAGACCAACCTTGCTACACAATTCCTTTCTCAAATAACCCGGGCAGTGCCGGGTCCCCAAGCTAGTAATATAATATAATGTAATGTAATATAATACATTGTATATACATACAATATTTATAATATTATACTGTAATACAATATACTACTCATAATATGATATTATAATTATATATTACATGTAATATTACTAATCATGTTACAATAGAATGGTATAGTGCAATATAGTAATATATAATACTGATATTGTACTGTGCTAATAATATATTTATTTATTTATTTATTTACTTTACTTGTATACCGCAGTTTCTCAGCCTAACAGGCGACTCAACGCGGTTTACAAGAAAGGTACAACAGTCAACAATATACAATTTAAAACCATAAAAGCATAATACACAATATTGACACAACAATAACAACCCAATGCATCTCATGACTAAAATCGTGATCCAGTTTCGTCGTCCATATTACCATTCCTGTAATCATCACATTCATTGCACCGATTAACCAAATGCCTGTTCGAACATCCAGGTTTTTAATCTTCTTCGGAACACCATCAGCGAGGGGGCTGATCTTACCTCCATGGGAAGGGCGTTCAATATATAATATATTGAATGAAAATATATCTTGTAAGCCGCTCAGAGTCCCCTTCAAGGTGAGAAGGGTGGCATAGAAATGCCGTAAATAAATAAATAAATAAATAAATAAATAAATAGTATATGGCTAGATAAATGGCCACCAGACTGGTAATAGCTCAGTGGATTGTAAACATATTGGTTTAATGTTTTATGTCTTAATGTTTTATGCTTTTAACTGTTATAAGTATTGCTGTTTTGTATTTTATTATGCGGCATTGAATTGTTGCCAATTGGAAGTTGCCCTGAGTCCCTCCAGGGGTTGAGAAGGGCGGGGTAAAAGTGTTCAAAATAAATAATAAAAATAGTATTTATTTTTCGTGTCAGGAGCAAACCAAACAGTTGTGTTGCATTTTTTAAGAAACAAACAAAATTTTAAGAAACAAACAAAACAAAACACAAAGTTTGCAAGCTTGGTAGTTGATTAGATGTCCTTTGACCAGTAGCAGGCCTCTGGTGTTACCAAAAGAAGGTCCTCCATTATGCATGTAGTAGGGCTCAGGTTGTATCGCAGCAGGTGGTCTGTGGTTGGCTCTTCTCCACACTCGCATGTCGTGGATTCCACTTTGTAGCCCCATTTCTTAAGGTTGGCTCTGCATCTCGTGGTGCCAGAGCGCAGTCTGTTCAGCGCCTTCCAAGTCGCCCAGTTTTCTGTGTGCCCAGGGGGGAGTCTCTCATTTGGTATCAGCCATTGATTGAGGTTCTGGGTTTGAGCCTGCCACTTTTGGACTCTCGCTTGCTGAGGTGTTCCAGCGAGTGTCTCTGTAGATCTTAGAAAACTATTTCTTGATTGAAGTTGTTGGCGTGCTGGCTGATACCCAAACAAGGGATGAGCTGGAGATGTCACTGCCTTGTGTTGGAGTTCAGCCTGTGTGTGAACCTGAACCTGATTCTCTGATTGTATTTCCTGATGCCAATGAAGATGTTGATTCTGAAGTCAATGTAGAAGATGACGGTTTGTGTAGTGAAACTCCTGCAGCCTTGGAAAGTGAAAGTCCAAATTCCCATGAGAATATTTCAGAGCCAAGCAGTGAACTTTCACTCCCTTTAGCTCTCCAGAGAATCTGACACCTGGGCTCTCTAATGAGGATAGGAGAGGGCAGATTTGGCAGAGCAGGGGAGAATCTCAAAGTTTACGAAGGTCAGCTAGACTGAGAGAAATGCAAACAAAGCCTTCAGGCGTGTCACGTAATAGATTTCTCGGCCTTAAGTACTTCTCGCCGCATCGTTCCAGATTCATGCATCTCCTTTGGCAGGTCTCATGATTCCAGTGGCCTCCTAGTTGCTTCAAGTACGGTTAGTGGATTGCTAACAGGTTCCAGGATTTAGCAGTGTTACTGTGGGTTTTTTTATCTTGTTCATGGACATTTCTTGTTGCTGATTTTTACTGTGGCTTTTTACCTTGCATATTTCCTCTATTTTTGTACTCATCTTTCATCAATAAAAAAGGATTGTTTTTCCTGAAGTCAAGTGTGGTGGATTGTTGTCTTAGGTCCAGTTTCCTGCTCTGGGTTGCAACACCTTGGTCCTTTCACTATTGTCTGCTACTTCCCGGCGGATGTCAGGTGGTGCAATACCAGCTAAACAGTGTAATTTCTCCAGTGGTGTAGGGCGCAGACACCCCGTGATAATGCGGCATGTCTCATTAAAGCCACATCCACTGTTTTAGCGTGGTGAGATGTGTTCCACACTGGGCATGCATACTGAGCAGCAGAGTAGCATAGCGCAAGGGCAGATGTCTTCACTGTGTCTGGTCGTGATCCCCAGGTTGTGCCAGTCAACTTTCGATAAAAATAGTAGGTAGCATGTAATTGCAGATTTTTGGTTTTATATAGCCAAGGTGTGTTTGTGTTCTTATCTTAATTCCCCTCCCCCCTTTCCTAAATAAAATTTACTTTTTTAAAAACATGACATATCACGTTCTCTTTCCAGTGGTTGGAGAAAAGGAGAAAGCCGACCGCACGGTGAATGTGCGCACGAGGGACAACAAGATTCACGGGGAAGTTTCTGTCACATCCGCCATTGCAAAACTGAAGACGTTGAAGGCTCTGCACTCTTTACACGCAGAAGAGGAATTCTAATCCTTCCTCGTCTGTCTGAAACATTTCTGTGTGGAAGCAAATCCCATGGATTCACTGACCCTAGTTTCCCCTCTAATAGGATTGGTGTGGGAAAAGGGCAACGACCTGATGTCATGGGGCTTCATCTTAGCAAATTGGCTTCTCTACTCCACAATTTAATCTAGGAAAGCATATATAGATGCCGTTGCTGCTACTGACTAATAAGGAGAGTAAGAAGTCCTTGAAATAGAATATTTATAGTCATGTAGACAAAAGCATTTTGATCCTGTTTGAGCCGTCTTGTGCCACTCGCTTAAGTTAGATACTTTAATGTGTTTCAATGCCTTGCCACCAGGTTTGGTTGCTGAATGAGCCCAGCTTCCAGCAGAATCCTTTGCCTTTGAATGTCAAATTCTGTACCGTTCTGGGGTCGGCATCCAAGAGGATCTGCCTCCCAAGTCCCTGGCCTGAGGCTTTTCAATGGACTTTGGAGTATAACATGTATGTTTCATCCTCTCCTTTTTGATCCAATAAAATATCCACAATCAATCTCACATTCCTGGCTTGGCAAGTTCATTTTCTTCCTTGAAGTAATGTTGCATATGGGAAGCATTTCTTAGCTTATATGTGTCAGAGCAATCAATAGCAAATCCAAACCACCCTCAGATCAAGTGATATTTTTATTAAATGACTTGGGGAAGAGATGTCTTGTTATTAAGACTATTAGACAATGGGATATTTATTTATTTATTTACAACATATATATGCCGCCCTTCTCACCCCGAAGGGGACTCAGAGCGGCTTACAAGTAAAATGTAAATACAATATATTATATTATTAACATAGCACAATATTGATCTATATAAATATAAATGTAATGTTTGTTTCTGGGATTAACAGAACTCAAAAACCACTGGGGGAATTGACACCAAATTTGGACACAAGACACCTAACAACTCAATGTATGTCCTTCACTCAAAAAATTGATTTTGTCATTTGGGAGTTTTAGTTGCTGGGATTTATAGTTCACCTACAATCAAAGAACATTCTGAACCCCACCAGGTTTGGACACAAGACACGTATTAGGCCAACGAGTGACCAGCACTCATAAAAACACTAAAAAAACACAGCAGAAGGGACTTAAAACGTCAAAAAAACCCCCCCAAAAAACCATTACAACACATGCACAAAACCAAATATGTATATACAAACACACATATATACACACATATATGCATACACATTCACAAAACACATACACAGAAAGGATGAAGGAAGGGAGAGAAGGAGGGATGGAAGGAGAGCAGGAAGGAAAGACAGAAGGGTAGAGAAGGAAGGAGGGAGAGAAGAAGGGAAAGAAGGAGGGAAGGAGAGCAAGAAGGAAAGAAAGAGAAGGAAGGAGGGAGAGAAAGAGGGAAAAGAGGGAAGGAGAGAACAAAAGAAAAAAAGGGTAGAGAAGGAAGGGAGGAGAGAAAGGGAAAGAGAAGGAAGGAAAGAAAAGTAGAGAAGGAAGGAGGGAGAGAAAGAGGAAGAGAGAGGGAGAGAAGGAAGGAAAAAAGAAGGGTAGAGAAAAAAGGAGGGAGTGAAGAAGGGAAAGAAAAAATGAAATGCAAAGATACAGAATGGGTGACGCCTGGCTCGAGAGCAGTATGTGTGAAAAAGATCTTGGAGTCCTCGTGGACAACAAGTTAAACATGAGCCAACAATGTGATGTGGCGGCAAAAAAAGCCAATGGGATTTTGGCCTGCATCAAGAGGAGCATAGTGTCTAGATCTAGGGAAGTCATGCTACCCCTCTATTCTGCTTTGGTTAGCCACACCTGGAATATTGTGTCCAATTCTGGGCACCACAATTCAAGAGAGATATTGACAAGCTGGAATGTGTCCAGAGGAGGGCGACTAAAATGATCAAGGGTCTGGAGAACAAGCCCTATGAGGAGCGGCTTAGGGAACTGGGCATGTTTAGCCTGAAGAAGAGAAGGCTGAGAGAGATATGATAGCCATGTATAAATATGTGAGAGGAAGCCACAGGGAGGAGGGAGCAAGCTTGTTTTCTGCTTCCTTGGAGACTAGGACGCGGAACAATGGCTTCAAACTACAAGAGAGGAGATTCCATTTGACATGAGGAAGAACTTCCTGACTGTGAGAGCCGTTCAGCAGTGGAACTCTCTGCCCGGAGTGTGGTGGAGGCTCCTTCTTTGGAAGCTTTTAAACAGAGGCTGGATGGCCATCTGTCAGGGGTGATTTGAATGCAATATTCCTGCTTCTTGGCAGGGGGTTGGACTGGATGGCCCAAGAGGTCTCTTCCAACTCTTTGATTCTATGATTCTATGAAAGAGAAAGGGAGAGAAAGAGGGGGAGAAGAAGGGAAAGAAGGAGAGAAGGAAGGGAGGAGAGAAAGGGAAGGAGAGAAGGAAGGAAAGAAGGAAGGAAGGAGGGAAAGAAGGGAAGGAGATAAAGAAGGAAAGACAGAAAGGTAGAGAAGGAAGGAGGGAGAGAATGAAAAAAAAATGAAAGGGGGAAGGAAGGAGAGAAGGAACGAAAGAAAGAGGGAAGGAAGGAAGAAAAGAGACAAGGCAGAATGGAACCAAAGAGCAAAAGAAGCGAGAAAAGAAACAGGTAGAGAAGGAAGAAAGAAGAAGGGAAAGAAAAAGAGGAAGGAGAGAAAGAAAGGAGAGAAAGAGGGAGGGAAGGTTGGCCACAGCAACGTGTGGCAGGTACAGGTAGTCTATATAAATAAAAATGTAATGTTCGTTTGTGGGATTAACAGAACTCAAAAACCACTGGACGAATTGACACCAAATTTGGACACAAGACAACTAACAGCCCAATGTATGTCCTTCACTAAAAAAAATTGATTTTGTCATTTGGGAGTTGTAGCTGTTGGGATTTATAGTTCACCTGCAATCAAAGAGCATTCTGAACCCCATCAACGATGGAATTGAACCAAACTTGGCACAGAGTTCTCCCATGACCAATAGAAAATACTGGAAGGGTCTGGTGGGCAGTGTCCTTTGGTTTTGGAATTGTAATTCACCTACATCCAAAGATGACTGTGGACTCAAACAATGATGGATCTGGACCAAACTACATGAATACTGAATATGTCCAAATGTGAATACTGGTGGAGTTTGGGGAAAAATAGAATCCTGACACTTGGGAGTTGTAGTTGCTGGGATTTATAGTTCACCTACAATCACAGAGCATACTGAACCCCACCAACTCTAGAATTGGGCCAAACCTCGCACATAGAACCCACATGTGGGCCACAGCAACGCGTGGCAGGGGACGGCTAGTATTATATATAACTGTATTGTACTATAACATTATACTGTAATATTGTTAGTAATATTACATGTAATATAAAATATATAATTATAACATATTATTATTAATAGTATTATGTTGTATTACATTATAATATCAATATTATATGTATATACGTTATATCTATATAAATAAAAATGTAATGTTTGTTTGTGGGATGAATTGCCCCAAATTTGGCCACAAGACACCTGCTCTCCTTCCATCCCTCCTTCTCTCCCTTCCTTCGTCCTTTCTGTGTATGTGTTTTTTGTATGTATATTTATTTATCGTGTCATCCGCAACCAGAACATTGTATTACATTTTTAACAGAACAAAACAAACAAACAGATAAAAAAAACCACACAAATTTTGCAAACTTGGTAGTTGACTAAATATCCTTTGACCAGTATCTGGCCACTTGGAGTGCCTCTGGTGTTGCCACAAACAGGTCCTCCATGGCAGGGCTCAGGTTGCATTGCAGCAGGTGGTCAGTGGTTTGCTCTTCTCCACATTCGCATTTCGTGGATTCAGCTTTGTGGCCCCATTTCTTAAGGTTGGCTCTACATCTCGTGGTGCCAGAGCGCAGCCTGTTCAGCGCCTTCCAAGTCACCCAGTCTTCTGTGTGCCCAGGAGGGAGTCTCTCATCTGGTATCACCCATGGATTGAGGTGCTGGGTTTGAGCCTGCCACTTTTGGACTCTTGCTTGCTGAGGTGTTCCAGCGAGTGTCTCTGTAGATCTAAGAAAACTATTTCTTGATTTAAGTCGTTGACATGCTGGCTGATACCCAAACAAGGGATGAGCTGGAGATGTCGCTGCCTTGGTCCTTTCACTATTGGCTGCTACTTCCCGGCGGATGTCATGTGGTGCAATACCGGCTAAGCAGTGTAATTTCTCCAGTGGTGTAGAGGTGCAGACACCCCGTGATAATGCGGCATGTCTCATTAAGAGCCACATCCACTGTTTTAGTGTGGTGAGATGTGTTCCACACTGGGCATGCATACTCAGCAGCAGAGTAGCATAGCGCAAGGGCAGATGTCTTCACTGTGTCTGGTTGTGCTCCCCAGGTTGTGCCAGTCAGCTTTCGTATGATATTGTTTCTAGCACCCACTTTTTGCTTGATGTTCAGGCAGTGCTTCTTGTAGGTAAGAGCACGGTCCAGAGTGACTCCCAGGTATTTGGGTGCGCTGCAATGCTCCAGTGGGATTCCTTCCCAGGTGATCCTCAGAGCTCGGGATGCTTGTCTGTTCTTGAGATGAAAAGCACATGTCTGTGTTTTAGATGGGTTGGGGATCAGCTGGTTTTCCCTGTAATAGGCAGTAAGGGCACCTAGAGCTTCAGAGAGCTTCTGTTCAACCATCTCAAAGCTCCCTGCTTGAGCAGTAATGGCACGATCATCAGCATAGATGAAGCTCTCTGTCCCTTCTGGCAGTGGCTGGTCATTTGTGTAGATGTTGAACATGGATGGAGCAAGCACGCTCCCCTGAGTTAGGCCGTTCTTCTGTTTCCGCCATCTGCTTCTCTGGCCCTGGAACTCAACAAAAAAGCTCCTGTTTTGTAGCAGGTTTCCTATGAGGCGGGTGAGGTGGTAGTCCTTTGTGATACTATACATTTTTCTCAGGAGGAGGCGGTGGATATAGATAGATAAGAAGATGGGAGAAAGAAAGGTTGGCTCTTCAGCGCTGTCATACCCCTTCCGCCCTGATAGTGGCAGCAGAGCGCACTGCGAAAGGAAAGCGAGGGCTGTTTTGGAGCTATTGCGCGTGCGCCCAGCCGGAGGGCCCTCAGCCTGACAGCCGAAGTGGGAGGAGCCTGTCGGAAGTCCCCGGATGAGGGCAAGATGGCGGCGCTGGCGGTGGCCGGTCTGCGGGCGCTGAAGAGACTCTGCCGCGTCGCCCTCTTCCTCTCGCAGCTCTACGTCCTTTCCGGCAGAGGTAGGCCAAGCCCGGAGGGAGGAGGAGGAAGAAGAAGAAGAAGAAGAAGGGGCTGCTCTTGCTGTTGTTGTTGTTGTTGATATGTCTGACCATCATCAGGGGAAGGAGGGAGGGAGGGAGAGAGAAAGAGAGAGGCCAAAGAAGGGGGAGGGGAGGGATAGATGTGTTAAAAATCCTATTATTAATCTTAATAATCCTATTTTTAATGTTAAAGTCCCATTATACATAATTCTATGATTAATGTTAAAATCCTATTAATATTACTAATCCTATTAATAATATTATTAATGTTAATAATCCTATTATTAATGTCAATAATCTTATTATTAAGGTTAAATTCAATTACTAATATTAATAATCCTGTTATTAAGGTTAAAATATATTCATGTTAAAATCCTGTTATCAGTATTCAAAATTCTATTATTAAAATTCAAAATTCTGTTATTAATATTCAAAATATTGTTAGTATACTACTATTATTAAGGTTAATAATGCTATTATTAAGGCCAATCACCCTATAATTAATGTTAATAATCCTATTATTAATGTTAAAGTCCCATTATTAATTTTCATAATTCTTTTATTAATGTTAAAGTCCTATTAATATTACTAATCCTATTAATAATATTATTAATGTTAATCCTATTATTAATGTCAATAATCTTATTAGTAAGGTTAAATTCAATTACTAATATTAATGATCCTATTATTAAGGTTAAAATATATTCATGTTAAAATCCTGTTATCAGTATTCAAAATTCTATTATTAAAATTCAAAATTCTGTTATTAATATTCAAAATATTGTTAGTATACTACTATTATTAAGGTTAATAATGCTATTATTAAGGCCAATCACCCTATAATTAATGTTAATAATCCTATTATTAATGTTAAAGTCCCATTATTAATTTTCATAATTCTTTTATTAATGTTAAAGTCCTATTAATATTACTAATCCTATTAATAATATTATTAATGTTAATCCTATTATTAATGTCAATAATCTTATTAGTAAGGTTAAATTCAATTACTAATATTAATGATCCTATTATTAAGGTTAAAATATATTCATGCTAAAATCCTGTTACTAATATGCAAAATTCTGTTATTAATATTATACTACTATTATTAAGGTTAATAATATTATTAAGGCCAATGATCCTATAATTAGTTAATTATACTATTTTTAATGTTAAAGTCCCATTATTAATTTTCACAATTCTTTTATTCATGTTAAAATCCTATTAATATTACTAATCCTATTAATAATATTATTAATGTTAATAATCCTATTATTAATGTCAATAATCTTATTATTAAGGTTAAATTCAATTACTAATATTAATGATCCTATTATTAAGTTTAAAATATATTCATGTTAAAATCCTGTTACTAATATTCAAAATTCTATTCTGGTGGGGACGAGGGACAAGGCCTTCTCAGTGGTGGCCCCTCGACTCTGGACCTCTCTCACTGGAGATCAGAACTGCCCCCTCCATTCTGTCGTTCAGAAAACAGGTGAAAACCTGGCTATGGGGTTTGGCTTTCGACGAGTGAATCAGTATTTCTGTGATCGGATAGATGACGATGAATGATGGACAACGAATTCACTATGACGACTGACCATTGTTATTATGTGATTGCACTTTGCTGTTATAACGTTTTAATTGAATATGTTATATGATGTTTTTAATTATTGCTTTGTGATTTTATTGTTGGAAACCGGCCCGAGTCCCCCGATAGAGGGGAGACGACCGGTATACAAAATTGCTAAATAAATAAATAAATATTATTAATATTATACTACTATTATTAAAGTTAATAATACTATTATTAAGGCCAATCATCCTATAATTAATATTAATAATCCTATTATTAATGTTAAAGTCCCATTATTAATTTTCATAATTCTTTTATTAATGTTAAAATCCTATTAATATTAGTAATCCTATTAATAATCCTAATTAATATTAATCATCCTATTATTAAGGTTAAAATCTATTCATGTTAAAATCCTGTTGTTGATATTCAAAATTCTATTGTTTTTGAAGGTTATTAAGGTTATTAAGGTTATTAAATAAAAATTCTATTATTAATATTCATAATACTATCATTACTACTCATAATACTGTTAAGGTTAATAATACTATTATTAAGGTCCATAATCCTATAATTAAGGTTAATTATTCTATTATTAATGCTAAATCCTATTATTAATGTTAAATCCTATTATTAATGTTAAAATCCTTATGAACCATCTCTAGGACTTTAAGATCATCCAAAAATGGCAGGCCCTGCTCTCAGTCCCATCTTCTTCACAGATGCGTTTGGTGGGAATGAGAGACAGTGCCTTCTCAGTGGTGGCCCCTCGGCTGTGGAACACCCTTCCCAGGGATATTAGATCGACTCCCTCCTTCTTAACATTTTGCAAAAAAGTTAAAACCTGGCTTTTCGAGCAAGCATTTGCAAATGCATTGTAACAGGCAGAGATAGACCCACAGAACAACTGGACAATGTGATTGAATAATGATTTCAGTAAGGAGATTCTGAGGATATATGTTTTAATTGTCTTTATATGAATTTTTATTTTATAAGCGAATATTTTAAAGTGTTTTTATGTTCTTGGCGGCATCAAATTAAGTAAAAACCGTCCTGAGTCACCTTCGGGCTGAGAAAGGCGGTATATACATACAGTAAATAAATGAATAAATAATATTAATCTTAATAATCTTATTATTAATGTTAAATCCTATTATAAATGTTGAAATCTTATTACTAATCTTAATCTTATTATTAATGTTAAATCCTATTATTAATATTGATATCCTATTATTAAATTAATTTATTATTAATGTTAAAATGCTATAATTAATGTTCATAATCCTGTTATTAATGTTAAAATCCTATTATCAGTGTTAGTAATCCTATTGTTAATAATTCTATTATTAATATTAATAATTATTATTGATCATCATCAGGGGAAGAAGTGAGAGAAAAAGGGGCCAGAAAAGGTGGGGAGGGAGAAAGAGATATCAACAATAAATTTTATTTATTTATTTACTGCGTTTTTATCTTGCGCTACCTGAACCCCAAGGGGGACTCGGAGCCGCTTCCAAATTGGCAACAATCCAATGCCACAATAAACATAAACATACAAAATACAATGGACATTTTACATTAAAATCAATAAAACGTCATTAAAACCATGACGGTCAATACATTGAATAAACTGTTAAAAACAGAAAAACACAAAATGGTAATCCAGGAACCATTCCAATCATATTTCAATCACATTCTACTTCCCGAACACTTGGAGAAACACAAATCAAGGAACATGAAACGCACTGCAGATTAATTCAACCTGTAAAGTCAGCCAAAGCAGAGCACTTGCTGAACCAGCCTGGACACAGCATATTATTTGAGAACATAGAATGCTGGACCACTCTCACAACCACCATGTCAGACTACACAGAGAAGCCATTGAAATCCACAAGCATGTGGACAAATTTCAACAGAAAGGAGGAAACCATGAAAATGAACAAAATCTGGCGACCAATATTTTTTAAAAAACCCTCTAAAATCAGGACAGTAAATAGCAACACTAAAAAAATCGGAGTCTTTGCAATTCAATCTCCCCCTGATAATAATAAATAATAATAATAACACTTTATTTATACCCCTCTACCATCTCTCTGAACAGTTTGGGACCCGCCTACCTGCCTGACCGCATCTCTGTATACGAACCCACATGATCCCTTTGATCATCCGGAGAGGCCCTGCTCTCGATCCCACCAACATCGCAGGCGCGATTGGTGGGGATGAGAGAGAGGGCCTTTTCGGTGGTGACCCCTCGACTCTGGAACTCTCTCCCTAAAGATATCAGACAGGCCCCAACTCTGGCAGTCTTTAGGAGGAGCTTGAAGACGTGATTGTTCCAGTGTGCTTTCCCAGAATAATGATCCCATAGCACTTTGTCCTCCAAGCACTTTACATTCTTTAGGTCTGCTCGTATGCCCTTCCACAAACGCCACTATCACCTTTTCATCCATGTCCCAGCATTATTCCCAATTTTAACTTTACATTTGGCCTTCCCACTGTTTTTAATTGTGTGTTGTCTTACTGCTAATGTTGTATATATTATTGTCTATGTTTTTATTTTAATTGCTTGTACTGTTGTTGTTGTTATTGCTTGTACTGTTGTACTCGGGCTCGGCTTCATGTAAGCCGCACCGAGTCCCTTGGGGAGATAGTAGCGGGGTATAAATAAAATGTTATTATTATTTATTATTATCAGGGGAAGATCGAATTGCAAAGACTGGCACAAGCCAGTCAAGGGGGCCCCCATAGTGATCGGCACATTGGATGCAGTGCCTCAAGACCTTGGCCTGCACTTAAAAACTATCGGTGCTGATGAAATCACCACCCTACTCGGATCTGCATGCATTATTCGCCAATACATCACACAGTCCTAGACACTTGGGGAGTGTCCGATGTGTGATCCAATACAACAGCCAGCAGAGTGATCTTGTTTGCTGTGGACTCATCTTGTTATGTTTCTAATAATAATAATAATAATAATAATAATAATAATAATAATAATAGTAATAAGTGCTCAACTTGTGATCTTGTAATATGAAATCCAGAATATATATCTCATTTGCTGTGTCATACTGTGTTTTAGTGTGAATAATAATAATAATAATAATAATAATAATAATAATAATAGAGGAAGAGACTGGCCAAGCTGCCTCTGAATGTTCCTTGCCTAAAAAACCCTATGAATGTCAAAACCTCATAAGTCAACAGGCGACTCTAAGGCATATCAACGTACACAGATATTTTAAGTCTTGGTTTACACCAAGCATGAGCAAACTTTGGCTCTCCCTCCAGGTGTTTTGGATGTCAACTCCCACAATTCCTAACAGCCGAAGTTTGCCCACGTCTGGTTGAGACATTCAGTTTCTTGGCTCAATTTGAACATCTGTGTTCATGTTTTTCCTCCCTTTCCCTCCAGGATCGTTGAGCTTGGAGCATCATCCGCATGCTCAGCTGCCCAAGGTGTCTGCTATGGAGCCTGCCAGCACACAGGTCCCGGCATCTAAAGTCCCAGGTAATAATTCCGCCATCTTCTTCTCTCACCAATAGTTAAAATGTGCCCTTGGTTGCATTCTTTGTTGTTATCCCTATGGGTCACCCGCTCTGTTTTGACTCACAGTGACCCTATGAATGAGAGACCTCCAAGAGACCCTGTTATTTTCAGCCTCACTCAAGTCTGGCAATCTCAGGGCAGCCATGGCTTCTTCACAAGGATCCTGTGTAAAGCTCATTACAGTAATCCAACTGGGATGAAGACTCGCGTCACTGTGGCCGCGCCAGACTTAAGTGAAACGCAGCTGCTAATTTGGTCTTAGGCTTTCTCCTCCCCCTTCTAGGAAAACTATAAATGATTCTTCCCCATAACATCTTTAAATTAGGCTTTCACATTTATTTATTTTGAACAGTACAGTATATTCTCAAGCATACATCCAAGGAGTACTTTCTTTTTTATTATTTTTCTTGTTTGTGATTTCAAGTTATTTCTGAACAAGGGCAATGCTATCCCGGTGTTTTGGGGATTTTTTTAGTGTCAGGAGCAACTTGGGAAACTGCAAGTTGCTTCTGGTGTGAGAGAATTGGCCGTCTGCAAGGATATTGCTCTATACGGTTCTGGCCCAGCTTACTTGTACGAAGGCATCCACCCCTACGTCCTACCTCGTAATCTAAGATCATCCGGGGAGGCCCTGCTCTCACTCCCGTCAACAGCACAGATGTGTCTGGTGGGGACGAGAGACAGGGCCTTCTCGGCTGTGGCCCCCTGCCTATGGAACACACTCTCAAATTAGGTAAGATCTGCTTCCTCCCTCCTGGCTTTTAGAAAAAAAATTAAAATCATGGTTTTGGGACCAGACCTTTGGGCAGTAGAAGTAAATGTATGCAGCATTTTAGAAAGACAATGACTGGAACAGTGATTCAACAGACAAGACTGTTTTATTGTTTTAATGATTGTTTTATTGCTTGTGGATGTACTGTTTTTAACTTGATTTATGTCTAATTGTAGTGTATAATTGTAATTGTTTGTACTGGCATTGAATTTTGCCATTACTTATATGTAAACCACTTTGAGTCCCCCTTGGGGTGAGAAAGGTGGTATACAAATACTGTAGTAGTAGTAGTAGTAGTAGTAGTAGTAGTAGTAATAATAATAATATTGCCTTGAGGATGCCTGGATGTTTGATGTCTTACCATCCTGTAGAAGGCTTCTCTCATGTTTCCGCATGAGAAGCTAGAGCTGATGACAAGAGCTCACCTTTCGGTCAGCAGTCCTGCCGGCATGAGGGATTAACCCATTGCGCCACCAGGGCCACCTGGGGGGGGGGGGGGGCTAAGAACGTCCCCCAAGATCTCCAAATGGGTTTTCATGGCCAAGAAGGAATCAAAGCCTGATCTCCAGGGCTGTAGTCAGGAATCAAACTCTTAGCTGGATTTAATATATAGCATTCATAATCTATCTATAATTTTGCCTTAAAATTTTATTATATATTTATTTATTTACTATATTTTTATACCGCCCCTCTCAGCCCGAAGGCAACTCAGGGCAGTTTACAGTCAACACCAAAAACATAAAATGAAATTAAAACAGTTAATTCAAATATAAAACCAGATAAAACAATCAATATCAATAAAAACATGTATCAGTTCGAGTCTCCTAGTTAAAGGCATTATCCAATAGTGTCGTCTAGTTGTTCCATTTCTTTTTTCTATGTTTGTTATATTGCTTTTGCAAATGCCTGCTCAAAGAGCCAAGTCTTGGCTTTCTTTCGGAATGGTAAAAGGGAAGGGGCCGATCTGATATCCCTAGGGAGGGCGTTCCATATTCGAGGGGCCACCACAGAGAAGGGCCTGTCTCTCGTTCCTGCCAAACGTACTTGTGACGAAGGCGGGATCGAGAGTAGGGCCTCCCCAGATGATCTTGGAAGGTTCATAAGGGGAGATGCGTTCGGACAGGTAAGTGGGGCCAAAAATGTCTCTTGGGACCCTTCTACACTGCCATATAATCCAAATTATCAAACCAAATAGTCCACATTATCTGCTTTGAACTGGATTATATGAGTCTACACTGTGAATTAAAAAGCCTAACCAGCAGAGGCAGAAGCAGAGAGGACTTGCATCCTCCTCCTCCCCCTCCCCCTTGCTCAAGGGCCAGCAATTTCAGGAGGCCGCTGGTTCTTGAGTCAGGGAGCTCCGCCCCCCCTTCCCTGCAGGCTGCGGGGCACGCACAGCACTGAAAATGGTGCAAAAAGGCAGCGTGTGAGGAGGGGGAATGACCCCCCGCCCCGCCCCGCAGCTGTCCTGACTGCTGTTTGATTAAAGGTGAACTAGAAATCCAAAGAAATCCCAGATGTCTCCTCCTTCTCCTCCTCCTCCTCTTCTTCTTAATCAGAGGCTAAATAGCCATCTATCAGGAGTACCTTGATTGTGTTTGTCCTTTATAGCAGAAAGGGCTGTACTGGATGGCCCTTGGAGGTCTCTTCCTACCCTAGAATTCTATTACTATTATTATTATTATTATTATTATTATTATTATTATTATTATTATTACATTATTATTATTATTAAGCAGAGAGTGAATGTCCATCTGTCACGAGTGCTTTGATTGTGGGGCAGGATTTGATGGCCCTTGGAGGTCCCTTCTTATCCTAGAATTCTATTACTATTATTATTATTATTATTATTATTATTAAGCAGACAAAAGCGGGGAGGGGCTATTTCCAGGGGCCTGTTAGGAAAATGACCAGTGTGATATATAGGGGGCTAGATCGTGTCCGGATAGTGTCTGGGCTGAGCTAGCACTGGTCACTCTTGAAGATTTGTTGAAACCACCAAGTCTTCAAACTCTTACAAAAAGAGGGGAGGGATGGGACCTGTCTTATTTCCCTTGGTAGGGCGTTCCAAAGGCGGGGGGCCACCACCGAAAAGACCCTCTCTCTCTCCCCCACCAACCGTGCTTGTGACGGAGGTGGGAGCAAAAGGAGGGCTTCGCTGGAGGATCTTAGAGTTTGCACTGGTTCATAGATGGAGATGTGATTGTGAAGATAGATGGGGCCCAAACCGTTTAGGGCAGTGGTTTTCAACCTATGGGTCCCCAGATGTTTTGGCCTACAAGTCCCAGAAATCCCAGCCAGTTAACCAGCTGTTAGATTTCTGGAAGTTGAAGACCAAAACATCTGGGGACCCAATGAATGAGAACCACTGGTTTAGGGCTTTATAGGTCATAACCTGCACCTTGAATTTGGCTCGGCAACTTATCGGCAGCCAATGAAGCTGTTTTAATAGGGGCGTTGTGTTGTTGTTCATTCGTTCAGTCGTCTCCGACTCTTCGTGACTTCATGGACCAGTCCACGCCAGAGCTCCCTGTCGGCCGTCACCACCCCCAGCTCCTTCAAGGTCAGTCCAGTCACTTCAAGGATGCCATCCATCCATCTTGTCCTTGGTCGGCCCCTCTTCCTTTTGCCTTCCACTTTCCCCAGCATAATTGTCTTCTCTAGGCTTTGCTGTCTCCTCATGATGTGGCCAAAGTACTTCAACTTTGTCTCTAGTACCCTTCCCTCCAGTGAGCAGTCGGGCTTTATTTCCTGGAGGATGGACTGGTTGGATCTTCTCGCAGTCCAAGGCACTCTCACTTTCCTCCAGCACCACAGCTCAAAAGCATCGATCTTCCTTCGCTCAGCCTTCCCTAAGGTCCAGCTCTCACACCCGTAGGTGACTACAGGGAAGACCATGGCTTTGACTAGGCGGATCTGTGTTGCCAGTCTGATGTCTCTACTCTTTACTATTTTATCGAGACTGGACATTGCTCTCCTCCCAAGAAGTAAGCGTCTTCTGATTTCCTGGCCACAGTCCGCATCTGCAGTAATCTTTGCACCTAGAAATACAAAGTCTGTCACGGCCTCCACATTTTCCCCTCTATTTTCCAGTTGTCAATCATTCTTGTTGCCATAATCTTGGTTTTTTTGATGTTAGCTGCAACCCAGCTTTTGCGCTTTCTTCTTTCACCTTGATTAGAAGGCTCCTCAGCTCCTCCTCGCTTTCGGCCATCAGAGTGGGGTCATCTGCATATCTGAGGGTGTTAATGTTTCTTCCAGCAATTTTCACCCCAGCTTTGCATTCATCAAGCCCCGCACATCGCATGATGTGTTCTGCATACAAGTTAAAAGGTTGGGTGAGAGTATGCAGCCTTGCCGTACGCCTTTCCCAATCTTGAACCAGTCTGTTTTTCCGTGGTCAGTTCTGACTGTTGCTACTTGGTCCTTGTACAGATTCCTCAGGAGAGAGCAAGGTGGCTTGGGATGCCCATCCCACCAAGAACTTGCCACAATTTATTATGATCCACACAGACAAAGGCTTTAGAATAGTCAATGAAGCAGAAGTTTTCTGAAACTCCCTTCCTTTCTCCATTATCCAGCGGATATTGGCAATCTGGTCTCTCGTTCCTCTGCCTTTTCTAAACCCAGCTTGAACATCTGGCGTTGTATGCTCCCTATAATTTTCTCCAGTAAGGAGCCTGGCTGCCACCCGTTGTACCATTTGTAATTTCTGAAGGCTCTTAAAATTGTTTTTATTGGTCCTTATTCTCTGGACCTAATGTCAGGGAAAACCTTTACTATTCTACAGAAACTACAGCTGTTCCATCCTATGTCACTCGATGCCCTAGCAATGGGCCCTGCAGCCGGCTGCCTCCAGAATGCGTGACCTGCAGAACCAACTACTCCTGCATCTATGGGAAACCAGCCCTGTTTGAATGCGAAGCGAAACCCCAGGTTCACTGCGTTGTAAGTAATTCACAATTTAATTTCGGGCTCCTCTCAAATGCACTTTTTCTACTCCTACCTCATCCAGGGTTTTATTATTTTACCTTGTCCATGTGGCCCGCCCATTGTGTTCGATTTTATATTATGTTATTTTGCTTTGTTTACTCTATTTTGCTATTGTATGTATTTTATTGTTATGTGATTTTTGTTGGTTTTGTTGTTTGCATTTTGTATTTTATTTTGCTGTATTGTATTTTCAGGCTTGGCTTCATGTTAGCCGTCCCCCTCAGGGAGATGGTGGTGGGGTATAAATAAAGATGATGATGATGATGATGATGATGATGATGATGATGATGATGATTGACACAAAAGCACAGTATGTCACAGCAAACGAGATCAATATGCTGGATTTCGTATCACAAGTCGAACACTTCCCAAGCGTTTAGGACTGTGATGTATTTTCGAATGATGCGCACAGATCCAAGTCAGGTGGCCTTTCACAGTTGACAGATCATGATTTTGTTGATGTTTATTGTTTCCAAATGCCAGCTGAGATCTTTTGGCTCGGCTTCCATTAATAATAATAATAACAACAACACTTGGGAAGTGTCCGACGTGTGATCCAATTCAAGCAGAGTGTCTGACTCCTATGGCTCCCAGAATGCTTCAGCGAGCACATCCTAGGTACGCCGCTGCCAGGCCTGCTGGGAGTCATTGCCCAAAGGCCCTTCCTTGCGCCTCCGGATGACAACTCCCAGCAGCCCCAAGCAGCGGTGTGCCTGGCATGTGCTCGCTGAGGCGTTTTGAGAACCGTAGCTCTGTGAGTCCTACGGCTCTCAGAATGCCTCAGTGAGCATATCAAAGGAACACCTAGGATATGCTGGCTGAGGCATTCTGAGAGCCGTAGGAGTCAGGGAAATACGGCTCCCAGAATGCCTCAGTGAGCACATCCCAGGCATGCTGCTGCTCATAGCTACTGGGAGTGATCATCCGGAGGTGCAAGGAAGGGCCTTTGGATGACAACTCCCAGCAGCCCCTGCGGCAGCATGCCTAGGATGTGTTTGCTGAGGGATTCTGGGAGTCGTAGGAGTCAGGGAACTATGGCTCCCAGAATGCCTCTGCGAGCACATCCAAGTTTCCTTGGGCCTAGGCGAGCCCAGTGGCCTTCGAAGGTGGTGAGTGTCGGGGGGCGGAGGAGGCCATGAAAGTAGAGTGGGGAGAACGGCGGGGGCTGTGGGGAGTCATCTTAATGTGGAGTCATCTTAAACGGCGAGTATATCCCTAACTCTGTATTTTGTCTTGAAAAGTTGGGGGTCATCTTATACCCCTTGTCGTCTTGTATGCCAGAAAATATGGTAGTTGTTATGCTCACCTGTGGCATAAATTATTCCCACACAGGATGAGAACAACACTCGTCAGAAGATCTTCATGATCAACATGACCTGTCAGTTCTGCTGGCAGCTACCTCCCCTCGATTATGTCTGCTCCAATCCTGCAAACTGCAAGACGGTTTCTTGTCCCCGGGAGAGATATATGGCCAACTGCACCGTGCGGGATCATATCCACTGTTTGGGTAACGTTCATCCTATGTATATTATATGGGGCGAAGTTTTGACCTATTATTGGCATAGATCAGGCATGGTCAAACTTGTCAGAGTGAGACCCTTGGGGTCTATGCACAGTGGAATTGAGGTTACCAGATCACACAGACGCAAAACAGGACTCACTGCAGTTTTCAGTTTCAAAAATAACAAAGTTTACTTAGCACATCTTAAGACAGGTCTACTTTCAAGTGGACTACATCGTGAACACTACAAAGCACAGCACACAACAGTTTTCAGAACATCTGCTTATCTAATTTCTCTCTGGCTGAATCCTCCCTTTTTTCTTCCCAGGCAAATTTGTTATCTAACTTCTGTCAAGGTCTTTACTCTCTCTGCCTCTAGCAACAACAATTCTAGCATACAATTGAACATAACTGAATCCATTTTGAATATATATGAACACCATTGTTAAACATATTGAAGCACATTGAAAAACATACATGCATACTTTCAATAATCCTGACAAAACTTTGGCCCTCCAGGTGTTTTGGATTTCAACTCTCACAATTCCTGTTAGGAATTGTGAGAGCTGAAGTCCAAAACACCTGGAGGGCCAAAGTTTGACAATGCCTGCCATATATTGTTCAGAGCTGAGCTGTACTATTTGAGCCCTTGGTTGATGGGACCAAAGCTGTGGTTCCCAAACTTTGGTCTTTCTGGGTTCTGGACTTTGGTTCTCAAAAGCTGCATCCAGCTTGGCCAACTGCTAGGAATGCTGGGAGATAAAGGCCAAAACACCTGGGGAACCAATGTCTTCAAATGATTGGCTCTAGGCCTGCGTAGAGTTGTCCAAGGTCCTAATCGTTCTGCTGTCCTTCAGCCAGTTCTGAAAGGATGGCTTGGCTCCATTTGGGAATACCAGAACCCCATTAGAACTTCGGATTTCTCAGAAATTGAATATATTTCAATTGCATTGAAATACATTGCTCATATGTAAGAAGCATTAACCTGTTTTTGTTTGAAGGCAACCGTACTTTCCCCAAGATGCTGTATTGCAACTGGACCGGAGGCTACAAATGGTCAACAGCCTTGGCTTTAAGGTAGGCAGAAGATGATCTTATTTTAATTTCCCATTTAATTCCATTCTTTTTTTTGTTTTGTTTTGAACTAGAGCCAACGTATTAGTATTATTATATTACAATATTATTATTATAATATTATTATATATTATTGTATTATTATTAGTATTATTATATATAATAATATTGTAATATAATACTAATACGTTGGCTCTAGTTCAAAACAAAAAAAAAGAATGGAATTAAATGGGAAATTAAAATTATATATTATATATATAATTATATATTATTAAATTATATATTATTGTATTATTATTAGTAGTATTATTATTGGAGCCCCCGGTGGCGCAGTGGGTTAAACCCCTGTGCCGGCAGGACTGAAGACCGACAGGTCGCAGGTTCGAAACCGGGAAGACGTGGATGAGCTCCCTCTATCAGCTCCAGCTCCTCATGCGGGGACATGAGAGAAGCCTCCCACAAGGATGATAAAACATCAAAAATCAACCGGACGTCCTTGCAGACGGCCAATTCTCTCACAACAGGATGCTCCTGACATGTAAAAAAAAAAGTATTATTATATGGTATTACATTATAATATTATTCATATTATGTGTATATATAATATAATAATATATTATAGTATTAGCATGGCACAATATTAGTATTGTATAATAATCCATATATAAATGTGGTGGCTGCCCCGAGCCTTTGGAATACCCTCCCCAAGGAAAGTACTGGTAGTGCATTATATATATTGTGGTATATATACACCCTTCCACCCAGTACCAACTGCTGCTCTGGGCCAGAGTGCAGAGAGAGGGGGCCAGAAGACAGTTCCATCTTGTCTTCTGTTCTGTACTAATAATATAATATTATGTAATATAATATATTGTATTATATTACATTATATCATATTATTAGTATAGCACATTTAAAATTTATAATATTATAATGTAATACAATATACTACTACTACTAATATGATATTATAATTATATATTTATATTACATGTAATATTACTAATAATATTACAATATAATGGTATAGTACAATATAGTAAAATATAATACTGATATTGTACTATGTTAATAATATAATATATTGTATGTATATATATCTTGCGAGCTGCTCTGAGTCCCCTTTGGGGTGAGAAGGGCGGCATATAAATGCCATAAATAAATAAATAATGTGACTAATAATATTGCAGTATAGTGGTATAGTGCAATATAGTAATATAGAATACTAATATTGTGCTATGCTAATGATATATTATATATGCACATCATATTGATAATAATTTTATAATGTTATACAATGTAATAGAAATAATAATATTGTAATATTGTACAGACATTGGTTATTTTATGTTTTTAATGGTTTTTGTATTGTATTGATTTTGTATTGATTTTATAATGCTGTTTAAATGTTTATATTGTGGATTGTTATGGCATCGGATTACTGCCAATTTGTAAGCCGGCTTGAGTCGCCTTTGGTCTTGAGAAAGGCGAGATAGAAATATTATAAATAAATAAATAATGTTTATTTATTATTTATTTACGATATATCTGCTGTTCTCACCCCGGAGGGGACTCAAAGTGGCTTTACATACAGGCAATGATCCGATGCCTTAAAAACACAATGTACACTTAAATAAATATTAAAATAGAATTTGAAAGCACATTAAAAACAAGCGAAACATTTAAAAACATGAGCGTAATCTGGGCCGTTCCAATGGTAATTGCACATTGATCCAAGTTCCAAATCTATTGTACAAGTTCTCTAAAGGCTTGGTCGCAAAGCCACATTTTCACTCTCTTGTGGAAGCTCAGGAGGGTGGGGATTGATCCAGTATCTCTGGGGAGGGAGTTCCACAGCCAAGGGGCCATCACTGAGAAGGCCCTGTCTCTCATCTCTGCCAATCATGCCTGCAAGGGAGATGGGACCAAGAGCAGGGCCTCCCCAGATGATCTTAAACGTGGTGGTTCATTGAGGTAGATACATTCAGAGAGATAATACTAATATATGAATTATAATACTACTGATTCATATATTAGTATTACTATATTACATGAATCATAATACTACTAATGGAGCCCCTGGTGCTGCAGCGGGTTAAACCACTGAGCTGCTGAACTTGCTAACCAAAAGATTGGTGGTCCGAGTCCAGGGAGTAGGGTGAGCTGCTGTTAGGCCCAGCTTCTGCCAACATAGCAGTTCAAAAACATGCAAATGTGAGTAGATCAGTAGGTACCGCTTTGGCGTGAAGGTAATGGCGCTCCATGCAGTCATGCCGGCTACATGACCTTGGAGACGTCTACGGACAACGCCAGCTCTTCGGCTTAGAAATGGAGATGAGCAGCACTCCCCAGAGTCGGGACAAGACTAGACTTAATGCCAAGGGGAAATATTTACTTTTTAATACTACTTATAATATATAATGATATACTCTGTTTTATAATAATAATATTTATCTATTTATTTATTTATTTGCGACAATTATATGCTGTCCTTCTCACCCGGAAGGGGACTGAGAGCAGCTTACAAGATATATGTACATACAGTATATTATGTTATTAGCATAATACAATATCAGTATTAAATATAACTATATTGTACTGTCCCATTATATTGTAATATTATTAGTAATATTACATTAAATATAAATATATAATTATAATATCATATTATTAGTATATAATATTATAAATATTATATATATATATATATATATACACACAATATTATATATATACAATATTATATATATATATATATATGTATGTATGTATATGTATATGTATATTTGTATATTTTAAGTTGTAATGTTTTGACTGTGAGCTGCTTTGAGTGTCCATATGGAGGGATGAAGCGGGATATAAATAAATAAATAAATAAATAAATAAATAAATAAATATTATTACATTACAATACTATTGGGCACCCCCACTGAACTGCTGAACTTGCTGATTGAAAGGTTGGCTGTTGAAATCCAAGGAGCGGACTGAGCTCCTGCTGTTAGCCCCAGCTTCTACCAGCCAAGCAGTTTGAAAACATGCAAATGTCAGTAGATCAATAGGTACCACTTCTGCGGGAAGGTAATGGCACTGTCAGACTGTAGGATCTATGTAGCAATATTAAACAACCACTCACAAGCCGTTTTGCTTTGAAGTGGATATATTGCTTGTATCTCTTCAGCAAAGAAAGACACTACTGACTTTTCCCCACCACCACTTCCTTTTATACACCTTTCCTGCCCATCTCCCCCTCTTCTCAGTTTCCTTATTAGAACTTGTTGCTTCACAAGTTCCAATACAAGGTTTCCAGCGCCCTCTGCTGGCTTCAAAATGTCACAGAGAGAAAATTGATTCAGCCAGGATGATTCAGTCAGGATGTCATAGAGGGAATTTGTGATGTCTTCATGCCGTCAGAAATTGACTCCTGACAGGCACTCTATGCAGTCATACTGGCCACATGACCTTGGAGGTGTCTATGGACAACACCGGCTCTTCAGCTTAGAAATGGAGATGAGCACCACCCCCCAGATTCAGACACAACTAGTCTTAATATCACGGGGAAATCTTTAGACGTTTTGATCATGAGGATTCATTATATTTGTTACCTTTCTCTTAATTGGCATGTGATCTATTTGTGGCTTCTTCTCCAGCATCACCCTGGGTGGCTTTGGAGCCGATCGCTTCTACTTGGGCCAATGGCGAGAAGGGCTGGGCAAGCTCTTCAGCTTCGGCGGATTGGGAATCTGGACTCTCATTGACGTGCTGCTGATCGGAGTCGGCTACGTGGGGCCGGCGGACGGCTCGCTCTATATCTAAATTATTGACCCAAAATCCCCATTAGGAATGGATTGCGCTTGGAGAGGACCAAAGCCGGACTTCCAAAACAGACCCTAGGAGCACTTATTGCCTAATGTGTGCATATATACTATTTAATGTACAGCATCTGTACTTGGCCTGCCTTTAACTTAAGGTGAAATAAAGACTTGGACCGTTGAGTGACGCTGCTGCCCTGGCGTCTGTTTCTTTAGGGTACGCATGAGCCAACTTTGGCCCTCCCTCCAGGTATTTTGGACTTCAACTCGCACAGTTCAGTGCGAGAAGGCCTCAATGGGAGAAGGGCCTCACTATGAGAAGGCCTCAGTGTTAGTTTGCCTCAGTGGGAGAAAGGCCTCCATTTGAGAGAGCCCTCAGTGTGAGAAGGCCTCAGTGGGAGAAGGGCCTCAGTGAGTTAGTAGGCCTCACTATGAGAAGGCCTCAGTGTTAGTTTGCCTCAGTGGGAGAAAGGCCTCAGCCCTCAGTTTGAGAAGGCCTCGGTGGGAGAAAGGCCTCAGTGTGTTAGTAGGCCTCAGTTTGTGAAAACCCGGTGTGAGAAACTTCCGTGAGAGGAAGCCTCAAGTTGAAGGCCTCACATGTAAAGCTTGTGGGGAAAAGGAAGGAACCTGAGGCTATTAGGAATGATGGGAGTTGAAGTCCAAAACAGCTGGAGGGAGGGTCAAAGTTGGTCCAGGCCTGCTTTAGGGGTTTTCAAATGCACCTTTCTATTTTTTCTGTGAAAAAGTTTGTTAAGTTGCACGACAAAAGCGCACCGCTGTTTCTTTGGGCAGATGTGAATGCATTTGTGATCACAAATATCTCTGGCAAGCTTTCTAACCGTAACTATGAAGATGTTGTTGAAAGCTTTCATGGCCAGAATCACTGGGTTGCTGTGAGTTTTCAGACTGTTCCAGAAGCATTCTCGCCTGATGTTTTGCCCACATCTGTGGCAGGCAACTTCAGAGGTTGTGAGGTCTGTTGGAAACTAGGCAAGTGAGGTATGTATGTGTGTGTGTGTGTGCGTGTAAGGATGTCCAGGGTGGGAAAAACAACTCTCGTCTGTTGGATGCAAGTGTGAATGTTGCAATAGACCACTTTGATTAGTATTAAATGGCCTTGCAGCTTCAAATCACAGGCTTGCTGTGAGTTTTCTGGGCTGTCTGGCCAGAAGCATTCTCTCCTGATATTTTGCCTACATCTATGGCAGGCATCCTCAGAGGTTGTGAAGTCTGTTAGAACACCATTTGGAGCCGTAGAGAAGAAGCACTCAACAAGTTCATGGACCACCTCAACAGCATCCACTCAAACATCCAATTCCTGGGGGAATCCTTTGTTGGGAGATGTTAGCTGGTCCTGATTGATTCCTGTCTGGAATTCCACTGCTTTTTGAGTGTTGTTCTTTATTTATTGTCCTAATTTTAGATTTTTTAAAAATACTTTGTTCATTTTGTGCTTCTCTCCTATCTGTTGAAATTGTCCACGTGAAGGACACAGCATATTATTTGTGAACACAAACAAGCCTTAGAAACAGCAACAAAAAAGCCACTATATGGTTCAGATTTGTGGATGAAACCCTCGCCATTTGGAGCCATGGAGAAGAAGAAATAAAATGCTCCTGGACCACCTCAACAGCATCCACCCAAACATCCAATTCACCATGGAAAAGGAAAATGAAGGAGAACTGTCCACCTGTATATTTCCCCACCTGTATGAAGGTCTATATTTATCACCCTGTTCCTTTATGAGTTTCTCCCTCACAAACAATCTGCTCCATCCCTGTCTCATCCTAATTTTAGTATTTTTAGTATTTTAGTTTTTATCTTGCACAGGCAGCCCGCTCCTTGTTATTTTATTGTGTATGATTTGCTTTATTGTTTTTTGTACTCATATGTTGTATGTATTTTACTGTGTTGTTATTGTGTTTTGGTTTTACTTTATTGTAATATGCTGTTGGGCTTGGCCTCATGTAAGCCGCCCCGAGTCCCCATTGGGGAGATGGTGGCGGGGTATTAAATAAAGATTATTATTATTATTATTATTATTATTATTATTATTATTATTGTCTCTGAGGATGATCTAGGAAGGAATCCCACTGGAACATTGCAGCACACCCAAATACCTGGGAGTCACCCTGGACCACGGTCCAGGGTGACTCCCAGGTATTTGGGTGTGCTGCAATGCTCCAGTGGGATTCCTTCCTAGGTCATTTTCAGAGCTCGAGATGCTTCAGTTACTTTAGCCTCCCCCCACACTTTAAGGTGGTACCTAATTTTCCTACTTGACAGATGCAACTGTCTTTCAGGTTGCAAAGGTCGACAACAGGCTACACACAATTGGTTGGAAACCCACTCCAACCCGGGCTGGCTTCGAACTCATGACCTTTTGGTCAGAGTGATCTTAATGCAGCTGACACTCAGCCAGCTGCGCCACAATCCCGGCACATTCCCGATGGGGACTCGGAGCGGCTTACATGAGGCCAAGCCCAAACAACAAATTACAACAGAGTAAAACCGAAAATGCAAACCGAGCTAATCGCCTCCCAACAAGGATTCCCCCAGGCAGGAAGCAACCAGACTTTGAAGCTGCAAGGTCATTCAATGCTAATCAAGGTAGCCAATGGCAACATTCACACTTGCCTCAAGCAGACAAGACTTCTTTCTCTCACTCTAGACACTCTTCCACAGGTATATAAACCCCACTTGCCTAGTTTCCAACAAACCTCATAACCTGCCATAGGTGTGGGTGAAACGTCAGGAGAGAATGCTTCTGGAACATGGCCAGGCAGCCTGGAAAACACACAACGATCCATAACTATGAACATTGTCTGGAACTGATTCGGAAACTTAGGCCTAAGGAGATCGATGTGACATCTAAAGAAAATAGAACTGAGACGTTTCACAATGTCTGTATCCAAGAAGAGGCCGGTGTCATATGATTACATATAATAGCCAACGAAATGACTAATGTGCCATGATACCTGGCACTTTGGAATGCTCTCTCCTGTGTCTCGTTACGCACCTTTCGTCATTGGTGCTTCTGTTACATAGCTATGTATGTATAAAGCCACGCAATATAGACTGTGATAGAGAATTCTGGCCATTTTTCATTCACATACAAGACAACCACCTTCCTAAGTCCCAACTTCTCAACAGCTATTTGATGCATTAATGGATCATCTAAACTGTATCTCATGTTTACTAGTTTGTCATTCAGTAACTATTTTGGACACAATATATGCAAAAAAAATGCAAAAATCTGGTCAGTGCTTTAAAGGTGAAGGAAAGTGTTCACCAAGCTGCTTAATAAGTAGTTCTTTTTGGACCTCCTGAATAAACACGCTCAGTAGATTCTTTCAACTCAACACGTATTTCCTGCGTTCTTGAATCACTTGCTTTTTTAACTTCCCAGAGTAGTGGTGATATGTATGTTTATGTGTAGGAAGGACTCAATTTTGCAGATACTATGAGAATCTGATGTACTTGAATAAATGGCATATTGTTTCATCGTGCGTTGTTGTCATCCATGCTGAAATTTTTATTATTTAGTGTTTGGGTTTTGGAGACGTGCACCCTTTGCTTCAGGGAAACGTGTATCAGAAAATAAATCTCTCTGCTTGCCCTGCAAAACTCTATGCCAGGGGTCCACAAACTTTTTAAACAGAGGGCCAGCTCACAGTCCCTCAAACTGTTGGAGGGCTGGATTTTAATTTGAAAAAAAAAACATGAATGAATCCCTATGCATACTGCACATATCTTATTTGTAGTGCAAAAAACACTTAAAAACAATACAATAATTAAAATGAATAATAATTTTAACAAATATAAACTTATTAGTATTTTAATGGGAAGTGTGGGCCTGCTTTTGGCGGATGAGATAGGATTGTTGTTGTGAGCTTTCAAGTCATTTCAGCCTTAGGTTGACCCTGAGTAAGGGCCGGGTAAATGCCCTTGGAGGGCCGTATCCGGCCCCTGTGCCTTAGTTTGAGGATCTCTGCTCTATACCATCTAATTGAAGAGACCTAGTAACCTTAAAAAGTTAATGCATTTTAAATTTCTTCTCACCTTCTAGTTGGCCTAATCAAGGTATCCTTAGAATGCATTTGTTCCTAAATACCCTGAAAGAATAACAGAATACTGAGTTAATAGAGACCTGGTGGGCCATCCAATCCAACCCCATTTTGCCAATAGGTACTGCTCCAGCCTCCAGCAAAGGATCACTGCCGTGTCGTGGCGCTGGAGCTTGAGCACCTCAATGATGTCATGAGCGAAACCATCTATTTCTGCTTCATTGGCTATTCTAAAGCCTTGGACTGTGTGGATCATAATAAATTGTGGCAAGTTCTTGGTGGGATGGGCATCCCAAGCCACCTTGTCTCTCTCCTGAGGAATCTGTACAAGGACCAAGTAGCAACAGTCAGAACTGACCATGGAACAACAGACGGGTTCAAGATTGGGAAAGGCGTACGGCAAGGCTGCATCCTCTCACCCAACCTTTTTAACTTGTATGCAGAACACATCATGCGATGTGCGGGGCTTGATGAATGCAAAGCTGGGGTGAAAATTGCTGGAAGAAACATTAACAACCTCAGATATGCAGATGACACCACTCTGATGGCCGAAAGCGAGGAGGAGCTGAGGAGCCTTCTAATCAAGGTGAAAGAAGAAAGCGCAAAAGCCGGGTTGCAGCTAAACGTAAAAAAAACCAAGATTATGGCAACAAGAATGATTGACAACTGGAAAATAGAGGGAGAAAATGTGGAGGCCGTGACAGACTTTGTATTTCTAGGCGCAAAGATTACTGCAGATGCAGACTGTGGCAAGGAAATCAGAAGACGCTTACTTCTTGGGAGGAGAGCAATGTCCAGTCTCGATAAAATAGTAAAGAGTAGAGACTTGTGGGCAACCACGGAAAAATTTGTTTCTAAACTCGATTCGTTTTTTGGGGTTTTTTGCGTTTCAATATTTAAAAGAATTCCGAAATTTTTCTTTAAAAAAATTCGATATTTACGAAATTTCGTAAAATTACGAAACAATACGAAACGAATGCGAAACGAATACGAATCGATTCGTTAATGGCGGACGCAACCGCGCAATACGCTAAAAAACCTTCATATGGGACGGGGGAACTTCTGAAGCTTCCCTCTCCCTCTGTTGTTGACTGTTGGTGTGATATTTATAATTTTTTTTCACTGATTAAACAAACAACAGCTATAAAACTTGCCCCAGACATGCGGAAATAATAACGAAACGATTTCGAAACGATTTCGAAACGAATACGAAACAAATACGAAGCAATTACGAAACGAATTGAAAAATTCATTTCATTTTTTAGATGCTCCTGAATGGTTCAAAATCGCTTCGTTATAAAAAAAAAACGAATTTTTAACGAAATTACGAAACGAAACTGCCCAGCCCTAGTAGAGACATCAGACTGGCAACAAAGATCCGCCTAGTCAAAGCCATGGTATTCCCTGTAGTCACCTACTGTGAGAGCTGGACCTTAGGGAAGGCTGAGCGAAGGAAGATCGATGCTTTTGAGCTGTGGTGTTGGAGGAAAGTTCTGAGAGTGCCTTGGACTGCGAGAAGATCCAACCAGTCCATCCTCCAGGAAATAAAGCCCGACTGCTCACTGGAGGGAAGGAGACTAGAGACAAAGTTGAAGTACTTTGGCCACATCATGAGGAGACAGCAAAGCCTAGAGAAGACAATGATGCTGGGGAAAGTGGAAGGTAAAAGGAAGAGGGGCCGACCAAGGGCAAGATGGATGGATGGCATCCTTGAAGTGACTGGCTTGACTCTGAAGGAGCTGGGGGTGGTGACGGATGACAGGGAGCTCTGGCGTGGGCTGGTCCATGAGGTCACAAAGAGTCGGAAGCGACTGAACGAATGAACAACAACAGCAACAACACTGCTCCAGCAGGAAGGTATTAGTGCTCCATGTAGTCATGCTGGCCACATGACCTTGGAGGTGTCTACGGACAGCGCTGGATGTTCGGCTTGGAAATGGAGATGAGCAGCACACCCCAGAGTCAGACACGACTGGACTTAATGTCAGCGGAAAACTTCTACCTTTTTCCTAACGTTAAATAAATACATCAACAATACAAAATAACCAAAGCAATATTCCTATGACTTACATTTCAGTAGGAAAAACTTGATCTCACCTGTTACTTGTAACTTGCATTTAAGGTCTGCTCGAGAGGTGGCTGCCAAAGTAGCAGAAATGGTCAACATTTTCTAATGTTACACCATTAAGCTGTATCACTGGCATTCAAAAAGGATTGGCTGGTGACAGTTTCTGAGTAAACATTCGTGAATTTGTGGGTTGTTGTAGGTTGTTCCGGGCTATATGGCCATGTTCTGGAGGCAATTTTTCTCCTGACGTTTCGCCTGCATCTATGGCAAGCATCCTCAGAGGTAATGAGGTCTGTTGGAAGTAGGAAAAAGGGTTTATATATCTGTGGAATGACCAGGGTGAGACAAAGGACTTTTGTTTGCTGGGGCTAGCTGTGAATGTTTCAGCTGATCACCTTGATTTGCATTCAATGGCTTGGAAGCGCCTGGGGGGAATCTTTTGTTGAGAGTGTTTTCATGTGCCTGTTTGTTTCCCCTCTGATGTTTTGCTGCTGTAATTTTTGAGTTTTTTAATACTGGTAGCCAGATTTTGTTCATTTTCATGGTTTCTTCCTTTCTGTTGACATTGTCCACATGCTTGTGGATTTCAATGGCTTCTCTGTGTAGTCTGACATGGTGGTTGTGAGAGTGGTCCAGCGCTTCTGTGTTCTCAAATAATATGCTGTGTCCAGGTTGGTTCATCAGTGCTCTGCTATGGCTGATTTTTCTGATTGGAGTAGTCTGCAGTGCCTTTCATGTTCCTTGATGCGTGTCTGGGCGCTGCGTTTGGTGGTCCCTATGTAGACTTGTCCATAGCTGCATGGTACACGGTAGACTACAGCAGCAAAACAACAGAGGGGAAACAAACAGGCACATGAAATCACTCTCAACAAAAGATTCCCCCGAGGCGCTTCCAAGCCATTGAATGCAAATCAAGGTGATCAGCTGAAATATCCACAGCTAGCCCCAGCAAACAAAAGTCCTTTGTTTCACCCTGGTCATTCCACAGATATATAAACCCATTTTTCCTACTTCCAACAGACCTCACTACTTGCCATAGATGCAGGCGAAACGTCAGGAGAAAAATTGCCTCCAGAACATGGCCATATAGCCCGGAAAAACCTACAACAACCCATGGATTCCGGCCATGAAAGCCTTCGACAATACATTCATGAATTTCCTTGAGTCTCCAAACTCACTCTAGGGAGCTGAAGTGCAATTCTGGGGAGAAAAACTTTGCAAAGCTTCTGCTTTCTAAAGTCTTATCAGAACTCAGTGGACTCCAGGGCCCAGAAGCCCCCAAACAGCAGGGTCCCTGGCAGGCATGTAGCCCGGGGGGGGGGGGGGAGCCTCGAAATTCTCATGATGGTTTCAGAAAAACATCTATTTCTGCTTCATTGACTCTTCTAAAGCCTTTGACTGTGTGGATCATAATAAACTGTGGCAAGTTCTTGGTGGGATGGGCATCCCAAGCCCCCTTCCCTCTCTCCGGAGGAATCTGTACAAGGACCAAGTAGCAACAGTCAGAACTGACCACGGAACAACAGACTGGTTCAAGATTGGGAAAGGCGTACGGCAAGGCTGCATCCTCTCACCCAACCTTTTTAACTTGTATGCAGAACACATCAGGCGAGGTGTGCGGGGCTTGATGAATGGCAAGCTGGGGTGAAAATTGCTGGAAGAAACATTAACAACCTCAGATATGCAGATGACACCACTCTGATGGCCGAAAGCGAGGAGGAGCTGAGGAGCCTTCTAATCAAGGTGAAAGACGAAAGCGCAAAAGCCGGGTTGCAGCTAAACGTCAAAAAAACCAAGATTATGGCAACAAGAATGATTGACAACTGGAAAATAGAGGGAGAAACCGTGGAGGCCGTGACAGACTTTGTATTTCTAGGTGCAAAGATTACTGCAGATGCAGACTGTAGCCAGGAAATCAGAAGACGCTTCTTCTTGGGAGGAGAGCAATGTCCAGTCTCGATAAAATAGTAAAGAGTAGAGACATCAGACTGGCAACCAAGATCCATTGCCTAGTCAAAGCCATGGTATTCCCTGTAGTCACATCTACGGATGTGAGAGCTGGACCTTAGGGAAGGCTGAGCGAAGGAAGAGAGATGCTTTTGAGCTGTGGTGTTGGAGGAAAGTGCTGAGAGTGCCTTGGACTGCGAGAAGATCCAACCAGTCCATCCTCCAGGAAAGAAAGCTTGGAGGGAAGGAGATTAGAGGCCAAGATGAAGTACTTTGGCCACATCATGAGGAGACAGCGAAGCCTAGAGAAGACAATTATGCTGGAGAAAATGGAAGGAAAAAGGAATAGGGGGCAACCAAGGGCAAAATGGATGCATGGCATTCTTGAAGTGACTGGATTGACCTTGAAGGAGCTGGGGGTGGTGACGGTCGACAGGGAACTCTGACGTGGGGTGGTCCATGAGGTCACAAAAAGTTGGAAATGTCTGAACGAATTATGTTTATTCAAATCATGATCTGATCACCATGCTCAATATATCCCATATGCATGGGGGTATTGGGGTAATGATACAAAAGGTTTGCTAGGGTAGACCCTCTTTCACTCAGATTCAGCCCCCCCCCCCCCAAATCAAAATCCTGGCTATGGGCCTGGTCCCTGGGAATCACCCCAGCCGAAAAAGTAACTTTTCTACCCCCTGATTCCTCTGTTTGCCTCCAAGGGGCGCTGAAGGGCAGTTGTGTGCGTCACGGAGGCGCGAATGCGCAATGGAGAAGGGAAGCGGGGACCTTCCTGGAGAGAGCCTGGAGATCTAAGGAAGGGGGATTTGGGGTTTGGAAGGGGGCTGGCAGATCCCCAAGCCCTTCCCCGAGGCTCTGGTAAAGGGGGTGAAGCTCTCCCGGAGGTGCAAACACCAAGCCATGGAGGCAGAAGAGGAGGAGGCGAGGAGGAGCTTTTTCCAGCGCCTCCCCAAAGTGGTGAGCTTGGCGCTTTTGTTTACAGACTTTTGGAGACCCTACAAGGCCCCAGATCCTGTTCTGATCTTGGAAGCGAGGCAGGGTTAAGGTTGGCAATTAGGACCTGTAAGGAACTCTGGTTTATTTATTGATTTATCGTGTCAGGAGCAACCAGACATTTGTATTACATTTTTAACAAAACAAACAAACAGACAAAACACAAAGTTTGCAAGCTTGGTAGTTGATTAAATGTCCTTTGACCAGTATCTGGCCACTTGGAGTGCCTCTGGTGTTGCCGCAAGAAGGTCCTCCATTGTGCATGTGGCAGGGCTCAGGTTGCATTGCAGCAGGTGGTCAGTGGTTTGCTCTTCTCCACACTCGCATGCCGAGGATTCCACTTTGTAGCCCCATTTCCAGCTGCCCTACCTTGGGAAGTCTCACTTGGCCACGGTGGTCCATGCTCTGGTTACATCTCGTATAGACTACTGCAACACTCTCTACGTGGGGTTGCCTCTGAAGACTGCCCAGAAGCTGCAATTAGTCCAATGAGCGGCAGCCAGATTACTAACAGGAGCGGGGTACAGGGAGCATACTACTCTCTGTTGCGCCAGCTCCACTGGCTGCCAATTAGCTTCTGAGTACAATTCAAAGTGCTGGTGTTGACCTATAAATCCCTAAACAACTCCGGCCCAGTTTACCTGTCCGAACGGATTCTCCCCTATGAACCATCAAGGTTGTTAAGATCTTCTGGAGGGGCTCTACTCTCAGTCCCACCACTTTCGCAATCGAGTTTGGTGGGAACGAGGGACAGGTGGCCCCTCGGCTCTGGAACTCCCTCCCGATGGAGATAAGATCTGCCTCTTTCCCTCCTGACCTTTAGAAAGCAGGTAAAAACATGGCTTTGGGATACTGCATTTGCAGAATGATGACTGAGTCAATAACTGCTGACCTTTCTGGCGGATGGCGATGAATTTGTGATTCTTTTGGATGAACTTATTTTTGCTGTAATTTGTATGAATAGTATGAAGTGTATTTTAATATATTTTATATTGATGACCTATAATGGTTTTCTTATTGTATTGAATTTTATGTTGTTAGCCGGCCTGAGTCCCTCCCCGGAGGTGAGAAGACCGGGGTATAAAAACTCTAAATAAATAAATAAATAATAAATCTCGTGGTGCCAGAGCGCAGTCTGTTCAGTGCCTTCCAAGTCGCCCAGTCTTCTGTGTGCCCAGGGGGAGTCTCTCATTTGGTATCAGCCATTGATTGAGGTTCTGGGTTTGAGCCTGCCACTTTTGGACTCTCACTTGCTGAGGTGTTCCAGCGAGTGTCTCTGTAAATCTTAGAAAACTATTTCTTGATTTAAGTCGTTGACGTGCTGGCTGATACCCAAACAAGGGATGAGCTGGAGATGTCACTGCCTTGGTCCTTTCACTACTGGCTGCTACTTCCCGGCGGATGTCAGGTGGTGCAATACCGGCTAAGCAGTGTAATTTCTCCAGTGGTGTGGGGCGCAGACACCTGTGATAATGCGGCATGTCTCATTAAGAACCACATCTACTGTTTTAGTGTGGTGAGATGTGTTCCACACTGGGCATGCGTACTCAGCAGCAGAGTAGCATAGCGCAAGGGCAGATGTCTTCACTGTGTCTGGTTGTGATCCCCAGGTTGTCCCAGTCAGCTTTCGTATGATATTGTTTCTAGCACCCTCTTTTTGCTTGATATTCAGGCAGTGCTTCTTGTAGGTCAGAGCACGGTCCAGGGTGACTCCCAGGTATTTGGGTGTGCTGCAATGCTCCAGTGGGATTCCTTCCCAGGTGATCCTCAGAGCTCGGGATGCTTGTCTGTTCTTAAGGTGCAAAGCACATGTCAGTGTTTTAGATGGACTAGGGATCGGCTGGTTTCCCCTGTAATAGGCAGTAAGAGCAGCTAGAGCTTCGGAGAGCTTCTGTTCAACCATCTCAAAGCTCCCTGCTTGAGTGGTAATGGCACGATCATCAGCATAGATGAAGCTCTCTGTCCCTTCTGGCAGTGGCTGGTCATTTGTGTAAATGTTGAACATGGATGGAGTGAGCACACTCCCCTGAGGCAGGCCGTTCTTATGTTTCCGCCATCTGCTTCTCTGGCTCTGGAACTCAACAAAAAAGCTCCTGTTTTGTAGCAGGTTTCCTTCTCAGGTGAAGTTTATTATTATTGGAGTGTTGTGTGGTTTCTGGGCTGCATGGCTGTGTTCTGCAGCCTGGAAACCAGACAACGCCCCAGTGATTCTGGCCATGAAAGCCTTCAACAAGAATCATCTGAGCAACGGTGTTGTGCCTCTGCTTGTAGTCTGTCTGCGCGATCTTCTTGCAGCAGCTGAGGATGGGATCTATTGTTTCATCTGCTTCCTTGCAGAGTCTACATTTGGGATCTGTTGTCGACTTTTCAAATCTGGCTTTGAAGGCATTTGTTCTATTGGCTTGCTCTTGGGCTATTATTATTATTATTGTTGTTATTATTATTATTATTTGGATAGAGAGAATAGGAAGCTATGCATGCAGCACCAGGAAGATTTTATTTTTCTTGTTTAGGAGCTCCATGCACATTTGAACGGCTCCATCAGTTCCGACACCATGAAGAAACTGATGGCCTCCAAACCAGAACTTCAGTTGAGTGACAGAATGACAACGATTGACAAGGGGAAGAAGCGAAGTCTGGAAGAGTAAGTGCGGCTGAGTTTATGGAGTGTAAAATCCGTGGCACAAAAGGAAACCATACCAGAATTTATTAGGAAGGAACAGTAATCTGTAATCTGCATCCAGCCAAAAATCAGGAGGAGCATGAAAGAATAGTTGAGTCCATTCCAAAAGCTAATATTATGGGAACATGTTGCTATTCTGGATTTTGGAATTCCGATAAAGAGTCTTCTGTACTTTTATGTGATTCTTTTTTTTTTTAACCATTTGTCGATGCAGATGTTTTCAGATGTTTCAGATGATCCATCGGATTACCAATCGGACTGAAGACATATTAATGGTAGGCAAATTCAAGGTTCTTTTTGTTGAGATTCAAGCCTACACTGCCCAAGTCCCCGGACCTCAACGAGGAACAGTGTAGTCAGCTTAGAATAGGCCGAGTGTTTCCCTTCCTCCATGTCTCCTGCATGCCAGTCTATATAAATAAAAATGTAATGTTAGTTCGTGCTACCATCAGAACTCAAAAACCACTGGAGGAATTGACACCAAATTTGGACACAAGGCACCTAACAGTCCAATTTATGTCATCCACTCAAAAACATTTATTTTTGTCATTTGGGAGATGTAGTTGTTCAGATTTATAGTTCACCTACAATCAAAGAGCATTCAGAACTCCACCAATGATGGAATTGGGCCAAACTTAGCACACAGGGCTCCCATGACCAACAGAAAAAACTGGAAGGGTTTGGTGGACACTGACCTTGAGTTTGGGAATTATAGTTCACCCACATCCAGAGAGCACTGTGGACTCAAACAATGATGGATCTGGACCAAACTTGGCACGAATATTCCATATGCCCAAATATGAACACAGATGGAGTTTAAGGGAAATAGACCTTGACATTTGGGAGTTGTAGTTGCTGGGATTTATAGTTCACCTACAATCAAAGAGCATTCTGAACTCCACCAATGATGGAATTCAACCAAACATGGCATACAGGACTTCCATGACCAACAGAACATACTGGAAGGGTTTGGTGGGCATTGACCTTGAGTTTGGGAGTTGTAGTTCACCTACATCCAGAGAGCACTGTGGACTCAAACAATGATGGATCTGGACCAAACTTGACACAAAAATTTCATATGCCTAAATATGAACACAGATGGAGTTTGGAGGAAATAGACCTTGACATTTGGGATTTGTAGTTACTGGGATTTATAGTTCACTACAATTAAAGAGCATTCTGAAACCCTCAAACAACAGAAATGGGGCAAACTTCCCACACAGAACCCCCATGACCAACAGAAAATACTTAAGGCCATCCAGTCCAACTCTCTTCACCAGGGCAAGAAAATGTAATCAGAGCCCTCCTGACAGAGAGCCATCCAGCCATAGATATAGATAGATAGATAGGTAGGTAGGTAGGTAGATAGATAGATAGATAGATAGATAGATAGATAGATAGATAGATATACACACACACACACACATACATACATACACAGCTTTTCATGAGAACCCCAAAGACGGACCATGATATATTGCATGTACCAGGGTGGGCAAACCAGACACTCTCCACATCAACACTGACAAAGAAACAGCAAGAAATACTGTTTACCCACAAGCATAAGAAATTACATATATTAGAAACCAACACTTTCTCATTCCTTTATTTTCCAGATCAACAGACTGGGCCACAGCAATGTGTGACAGGGAACAGCTAGTTGGAAATATATCTGTTTTCTCTTTTTTTCTGCTCTCATTCTGATCGGTTGTGTAAAATGGATACTTTTCTACTGCAAGCCTTTACCTCAGCTTTTTACCTCTGAGTATGTGTTGTGGGCTTTGAGATCTCTCTTTGCTTGTGTGTCAGGAGAGCTGTATTGATTGCTGTTTTTTCCTCTCTAGACGAGATGGGTGTGAGAGTAGCTCAGACCTAGTTATTTACTATTAAGAAATGCAGTTATTTCTTATTATTGTAAATAATAAACCTGTTGTTGTCATAGACTTTCATGGCCGGAATCACTGGGTTGTTGCGTGTTTTTTGAGCTGTATGGCCATGTTCCAGAAGCATTCTCTCCTGACGTTTCACCTGCATCTGTGGCAAGCATCCTCAGAGGTTTATTTACTTTTTATTTACTTTATTTATATACTGCTTTTCTCAGCCCTCAGGCGACCTCACAACCTCTGAGAATGCCTGCCATAGATGCAGGCGAAATGTCAGGAGAGAATGCTTCTGGAACATGGCCATACAGCTCGAAAAAACTCACAGCAACCCAAACCTTTTGTGATTTTTAAAGACAGGACTCTGCATGTTTTCCTGCCTGAGCTCTACATTCTTTACAGCCCACAACACATGGCACTTCACGCTCTGCATGCTGTGAGCTGATGCTCAACTTTTAGTATCTGATTTTTGGATGCTCAGCTATATTTTTATTTATTATTATTATTTATTTGCTATATTTGTACACTGCCCCTCTTAGCCTGCAGGCGACTCAGGGCGGTTTACAGTCAACATCAAAGCATAAGTGGTGACCAGGGGAGCATTCATACAGTTAAAACTTGTGCGCCAGCTGCGCCCATACCTTGGGAAGTCTGACTTGCCTACGGTAGTCCACGCTCTGGTTACATCCTGTATAGACTACTGCAACGCTCTCTACGTGGGGTTGCTTTTGAAGACAGCTCGGAAGCTTCAAATGGTCCAGCGTTCGGCAGCCAGGTTGCTAACAGGAACGGCACTCAGGGAGCATACTACTCCTCTGTTGCGCCAGCTCCACTGGCTGCCAGTTTGCTACCGGGCACAATTCAAAGTGCTGGCGTTAGCCTATAAAGCCCTAAACGGTTCTGGCCCTACTTACCTCTCCGAACGCATCTCCTCCTATGAACCGGCTAGGACACTAAGATCATCTGGGGAGGCCCTGCTCTCTGTCCCGCCTGCATCACAGGCACGCCTGGCGGGGACGAGAGACAGGGCCTTCTCAGTGGTGGCCCCTCGGTTGTGGAACGCCCTGCCTGCAGATAGCAGATCGGTCCCTTCCCTGCTGGCGTTTCAGAGGAAAGTGAAGACCTGGCTGTTCGAACAAGCATTTGATTAAACAGTGTAATTGAACATAGGAACACGGAATAATGGATGATGAGAGCGGATTCTGATTTTACTGTTGAGGCGCTAGTTATTGTTATATGAATGTTTAATGATTTATGTTACAATTGTTTTTAATTGTCCTATACTTGTCTCGTGATGTCTTGTATTGATGTTGTTCACCGCCTTGAGTCGCCTGAGGGCTGAGAAAAGCAGTATATAAATAAAGTAAAGTAAATAAATAAATAAGAATCCAATAAAAACAATTAATATAATATAAAATCATGATAAAATCAATAACAACATGTGGCAACATTGTCCAATTACATTCGTCCAGTCAGTCCATTTTCCTATGTCCATTACGCTGTGTTTGCAAACGCTTGCTTGAAAAGCCAAGTCTTAACTTTCTTCCGAAATGTTAAAAGGGAGGGGGGCGATTTAATATCCCTAGGGATGGGATTCCATAACCGAGGAGGCACCACTGAGAAGGTCCTGTCTCTCGTCCCCGTCAGCCAGGCTTGTGACAAAGGCAGGATCGAGAGCAGGGATCTTAAATTCCTAGGTGGGACGTAGAAGGAGATACGTTCGGACAGGTACGCTGGCCCGGAACCGTATATCCGAGCAGAGGATGTTCCATTGCGTGGTAGAATAAAATAGGAAATAACATTTTCAAAGCAGGAACATTTTTTTTCAATTTTTGTTACGTAGTGCAATTGTAAATTCCTGTTTTCCATGACACATTCCTATGGTCATTTTAGGTAACCAAAGAAATTATTCAGGAATTTGCCACTGATGGGGTCAAGTATCTGGAGCTCCGGAGCACACCCCGAGACGAACCTGCCACAGGTGACTATGCATTTTCTGTCTTTCATTTTATAGTTTTGTGCTGTCTCCCACTTAGACACACACTCACCTTCCCAATTTTTCATCTCCCATGAAGAACGATTCCCCTTTTTCAAAAATGGAAAAATGCAACTATAAGGTCTATCAACTGAGGCTGGATGGCCATCTGTCAGGGGTGATTTGAATGCAATATTCCTGCTTCTTGGCAGGGGGTTGGACTGGATGGCCCATGAGGTCTCTTCCAACTCTTTGATTCTATGATTCTAACCGAAAGGTTGCAAGTTCAAAGCCCCAGGTCGGCGTGAGTGGCCGACCATCAGCCCTACTCACTGTTTACCTAAGCAGTTCGAAAACTGTAATTAGAGAAATTAGGTACAGCTAAAAGGGGGGAGGTGTTTTACAACATCATAAAGAAAAAGAAGATCAGAAAATGCTGGAAAGAGGAAGTCCTGACAGCTCTTTGTCATAGAGGATGGAGCGACGGCACTCCCTGTTGTTGTTGTTGTACTGTTTTACCTTTTTGGGTAGTTTTACCTTTTGCAAAGCAAATCATATAATTTTACCTTATTGTTGTTGTTGTACTGTTTTACCTTTTGGGCAGTTTTACCTTTTGCAAAGCAAATCATATAATTTTACATTATTATTATTATTATTATTATTATTATTATTATTATTTTACTGACACAAAACCACAGTATGTCACAGCAAACGAGATCTCTATGCTGGATTTCGTATCACAGAATCATTATTATTATTATTATTATTATTATTTTACTGACACAAAACCACAGTATGTCACAGCAAACGAAATCTCTATGCTGGATTTCATATCACAAAATCATTATTATTATTATTATTATTATTATTATTACTGACACAAAACCACAGTATGTCACAGCAAACGAGATCTCTATGCTGGATTTCGTATCACAGAATCATTATTATTATTATTATTATTATTATTTTACTTACACAAAACCACAGTATGTCACAGCAAATGAGATCTCTATGCTGTATTATTATTATTATTATTATTATTATTATTATTATTATTTTACTGACACAAAACCACAGTATGTCACAGAAACGAGATCTCTATGCTGGATTTCGTATCAAATATTATTATTATTATTATTATTATTATTTTATACACAACAGCCCAGTATGTCACAGCAAACAAGATCTCTATGCTGGATTTAATATAATATATTATTATTATTATTATTATTATTATTATTATTTTACTGACACAAAAGTACAGTATGTCACAGCAAACAAAATCTATATGCTGGATTTATTAATTATTATTATTATTATTATTATTATTATTATTATTTTAATGACACATAAACACAGTAAGTCACAGCAAGTGAGATCTATATGCTGGATTTCATATTATTATTATTATTATTATTATTATTATTATTATTTTAATGACACGTAAACACAGTATGTCACAGCAAACGAGATCTCTATGCTGGATTTCGTATCACAAAATCATTATTATTATTATTATTATTATTATTATTATTATTATTTTACTGACACAAAACCACAGTATGTCACAGCAAACGAGATCTCTATGCTGGATTTCATATCACAAAATCATTATTATTATTATTATTATTATTATTATACTTACACAAAAGCACAGTATATCACAGCAAACGAGATCTATATGCTGGATTTCATATCACAAAATAATAATAATAACAATAATAATAATAATAATAATAATAATAATTATTATTATTATTATTATACTGACACAAAAGCACAGTATGTCACAGCATCACAAAATCTCAAGTCGAACACTTCCCAAGCGTCGAGGACTGTGTGATGTATTTTCGAATGATGCGCGCAGATCCAAGTCAGGTGGCCTTTTGCAGGTGACAGATCGTGATTTTGTCGATGTGTATTGTTTCCAAACGCCGGCTGAGATCTTTTGGCACGGCACCCAGTGTGCCAGTGACCACTGGGACCACCTCTTAGGAATGACTAAAAGATCATACATAGAAGCTGTCCTCGAAGGCATAAGGCAATGCAAAGAAGATGAGCTAGATATTGATGTCAGGTAGGTGAGAAAACTGCGGCCGACATAGATACCTATATAGTAGACTTGTTTGATTTTGAAAAAATGGTTCGATTCTAAAGTCAATTCCTATTTTCACTGAAAAAAATGTTCAAAACTTTTTGAAACTTCAGAGACTTCCGAATCCTTTTGTTAATGGTTTGAAAGTGTTCTTTCCTGTTTCATTGGGTGGTCTTTACTTTAAAAGTAGTTGTTTTACTCCAGAAGCGGGGAAAAGCAAGTAATTTTTTTCTTTCTCTGGTTTAAAACTGGCTTCTCTGGCTTGAGCAAGGCCAGGGATCAGAAGCGGGGAAAAGCAAGTGGAGTAAATTATTTTCTTCTCTGGTTTAAAATTGGCTTCTCTGGCTTGAGCAAGGCCAGGGATCAGAAGCGGGGAAAAGCAAGTGGAGTAAGTTCATTTCTTTTCTGGTTTAAAACTGGCTTCTCTGGCTTGAGCGAGGCAGGGGCCAGAAGCGGGGAAAAGCAAGTGGAGTGAATTCTTTTCTGTTTTAAAATTGGCTTCTCTGGCTTGAGTGAGGCAGGGGCCAGAAGCAAGGAAAAGCAAGTGGAGTAAATTTTCTTCTTCTCTGGTTTAAAACTGGCTTCTCTGGCTTGAGCGAGGCAGGGATCAGAAGCAGGAGAAAGCAAATGGAGTAAAAAAAAACTTCTCTGGTTTAAAACTGGCTTCTCTGGCTGGAGCAAGGCCAGGGACCAGAAGCAGGGAAAAGCAAGTGGAGTAAATTATTTTCTTCTCTGGTTTAAAACTGGCTTCTCTGGCTTGAGCGAGGCAGGGGCCAGAAGCAAGGAAAAGCAAGTGGAGTAAATTATTTTCTTCCCTGGTTTAAAACTGGCTTCTCTGGCTGGAACGAGGCCAGGGACCAAAAGTAGGGAAAAGCAAGTGGAGTAAATTATTTCCTTCTCTGGTTTAAAACTGGCTTCTCTGGCTTGAGCGAGGCAGGGGCCAGAAGCAAGGAAAAGCAAGTGGAGTAAATTATTTTCTTCCCTGGTTTAAAACTGGCTTCTCTGGCTGGAACGAGGCCAGGGACCAAAAGTAGGGAAAAGCAAGTGGAGTAAATTATTTCCTTCTCTGGTTTAAAACTGGCTTCTCTGGCTTGAGCGAGGCAGGGGCCAGAAGCAAGGAAAAGCAAGTGGAGTAAATTTTCTTCTTCTCTGGTTTAAAACTGGCTTCTCTGGCTTGAGCGAGGCAGGGATCAGAAGCAGGAGAAAGCAAGTGGAGTAAATTATTTTCTTCTCTGGTTTAAAACTGGCTTCTCTGGCTTGAGCGAGGCAGGGACCAGAAGCAGGGAAAAGCAAGTGGAGTCAATTATTCACTGGTTTAAAACTGGCTTCTCTGGCTGGAGCAAGGCCAGGGACCAGAAGCAGGGAAAAGCAAGTGGAGTAAATTCTTTTCTTCTCTGGTTTAAAACTGGCTTCTCTGGCTTGAGCGAGGCAGGGGCCAGAAGCAAGGAAAAGCAAGTGGAGTAAATTCTTTTCTTCTCTGGTTTAAAACTGGCTTCTCTGGCTTGAGCGAGGCAGGGGCCAGAAGCAGGGAAAAGCAAGTGGAGTCAATTATTCACTGGTTTAAAACTGGCTTCTCTGGCTTGAGCAAGGCCAGGGACCAGAAGCAGGGGAAAGCAAATGGAGTAAATTCTTTCTTCTCTGGTTTAAAACTGGCTTCTCTGGCTTGAGCGAGGCAGGGACCAGAAGCTGACTCACTTCATGAGTCGTAACAAAAATGGAGGAAAAAGCTTCGAAAGGCAAAGGGACTTTCAATTTTCTTAAAACCTTCAAAATCACTTCAAAAAGCTAATTTTTCTGAATTTATTTCAAATTACGAAGATTTTGATGGTACCACAGTTCAATGACAAAGTATTTCTTCTGCTCGTAGATTTCCCTAATGCACACTTGCAAATTTTCCTCACATTCTAGATTTCTAGTGTCGGTGGACAGAAGAACGGGGCCGACAGTTGCTAAAGAAATAGTGAAACTGGCCCAAGACTTTCTCCTTTCCTCCGACGGACTGGTTTTGGGGCTTGACCTCAGCGGAAATCCTAATGTAAGGTTTCGTCAAAACTAAATGGTCCCCCTGCAACCCATCAGTGTATTTTAGGTGTTCCTTTTTCAACTGCATTTCTTGACTATTTTAATTTTGTGTCACTTTCCAGGCAGGACATGGCCGGGACTTTTTGGAGCCTCTGTTAGAAGCCAGAAAAGCTGGCCTGAAGTTGGCATTGCACCTTTCGGAGGTAATGCAAGCCTGGGCTTTGTTTTTATATAGGCAGGACATTTATTGCAAAACTAGCCGTTCCCATGCCATGTGTTGCTGTGGCCCAGTCTGGGTATATGTGTTTTGTGTGTGTATATATGTGTATATGTGTGTGTATATATTTGTGTATATGTGTGTTTGTGTATATATGTGGCTTTGCGCATGCGTTGTAATGTTTCTGTGGGGGTTTGTTTGCTTTTAAAGTCTCTTTTGCTGTGTTTTCAGTGTTTTTATGAATGATGGTCACTTGTTGGCCTGAGAGGTGTCTTGTGTCCAAATTTGGTGTCAATTCCCCCAGTGGTTTTTGAGTTCTGTTAATCCCACAAACAAACATTACATTTTTATTTATATAGACTAGCCGTCCCCTGCCATGCATTGCTGTGGCCCACTCTGGTGATCATGGGGGTTCAGCAGTGGAACTCTCTGCCCCAGAGTGTGGTGGAGGTTCCTTCTTTGGAAGCTTTTAAACAGAGTTTGGATGGCCATTTGTCAGGGGTGATTTGAATGCAATATTCCTGATTCTTGGCAGAATGGGGTTGGACTGGATGGCCCAGAGGTCTCTTCCAACTCTTGGATTCTATGATTCTATTTGGCTCAATTCTATCATTGGTGGGGTTCAGAATGCTCTGTGATTGTAGATGAACTATAAATCCCAGCAACTACAACTCCCAAATGTCAAGATTCTATTTTCCCCAAACTCCACCAGTGTTCACATTTGGGCATATTGAGTATTCGTGTAGAGTTTGGTCCAGATCCATCATTGTTTGAGTCCACAGTGATCTCTGGATGTAGGTGAACTACAACTCCAAAACCAAAGGACACTGCCCACCAAACCCTTCCAGTATTTTCTGTTGGTCATGGGAGAACTTTATGCCAAGTTTGGTTCAATTCCATCGTTGGTGGGGTTCAGAATGTTCTTTGATTGTAGGTGAACTATAAATCCCAGCAACTACAACTCCCCAATGACAAAATCATTTTTTTTTTGAGTGAAGAACATACATTGGGTTGTTAGGTGTCTTGTGTCCAAATTGGGTGTCAATTCCCCCAGTGGTTTTTGAGTTCTGTTAATCCCACAAGCAAACATTACATTTTTTATTTATATAGAATGTATATGAGAAACCGCCTCTATGCTTAACACACCCTCCAGCCCAATGTAAAATTGGAAAGCAGTTTTATTTAAGAACAGATGTGAAAAGGAATTAAGCAAAATAGTACAAAAAACCAAGTCCAAATATCAGAAATAATCCACAGAAATCAAAGTTGATGACTAGCATCAAAAAGCAGGACATGAGTCCTCAAACAGTAATCCAATGTTTACATTGTGATACTAGACTTTCCATGAATAGTGGAATAGTGGTGTTCTCCTTTTCTGGTGGTTTTAAAGCAGAGGCTGGATGGCTATCTGTCAGGAGGGCTTTGATTGTGCCTTTCTGCATGGAGTTGGACTGGAAGGCCCTCGGGGTTGCCCCTGACTGTGGTGAGAGGTAATGCCTTACGGAGTGTGTCTGACTTGCTTTTAGATCCCAAACCAAGAAGAGGAGACCAGGCTTCTCCTGGGACTCCCACCTGACAGAATCGGTCACGGGACGTTCCTCCATTCCCCGTCATCCCCGGATCTCATGGAGATCGTCAGGAAAAACCACATCCCCCTTGGTAAGAACAGGCATTGAAAGGTTGAATGCAAAAATGATGCACTTCTTCTCCGGTATTGTGACCTGAGATGAGAGTAAACAAAGAGCAACTCTAAAAAAAACAAAAAACAAAAAAACAACAACAACAACAGGGGAATTCCAGACAAGAAACAATCAGGGACAGCTAATCACCTCCCAACAAAAGGATCCCCCAGCCAAGCCTTGAAGCTGCAATTCTATTTAATGCTAATCAAAACAATCAATTGCAACATTCACACTTGCTTCCAACAGACAAGAGTTCTTTCTCCCACCCTGGACATTTCACAGATCAACCCCATTTTCCTACGAGGGTTGAATGATAAGTAATGCCTCCACCTTCGTAACTCCTCAACAGATGGCAGTACTGGTATGCGGCAGGTACTGGCTTGTTCAGTAGACTCTCCTCTACAGTTCCATTTTGGCGGGAAGCCTTAGCATTGAAGGGTTGTGTTGTTAAAGTGCGAAGTATGGAACCCTGCGCAGACGGTCGGTCAATGCGACTTAAGCAATGTGCAGCCATTGAATATTTGACAGCAGAATGTGTCACCCCAAAAGAGATTCATCAGAGAATGCAAGCTCTTTATATCTCTGAGGATGCCTGCCATAGATGTGGGTGAAACGTCAGGAGAGAATGCTTCTGGAACATGGCCAGAAAACTCACAACAACCCAGAACCTTTGCCTGTTTAAAGAAAGTGTCGACATTGCAATTTGCTAGCTTGTGTTAACATTTGAGTAGCCAGGAAGTCAATCACTGAGGGTATCTGCATTGAGGTAGCCTGGCCTTTGTTGCCTGGAGGCATCCTCTGTTTGGGAGGTGTTAATTAGCTCTTGATTGCTTGCTGTTTGGAGTTCTCCTGTGGTGTTTATTATTTACTATCCTCCCTCCTAGGCTTTATGGACAAAATCTGGTGACTAGTATTAAAAAACACCAGAATGAAGACGGTAAATAATGAACACCACCGAAAAACAGGAGAACTCCAGACAACAAGCAGTCAAGGGTCAGTGAACACCTCCCAAACAAAGACCAGGCCACTTCAATGCAAACTTCTAATGCTAATTCAAGCTTGGAAATTGCAACATCCACACTCCACTTGCCTCGCCTCCAATAGGACCTCTGAAGATGCCATTAGCCACAAATGGAGGCAAAACGTCAGGAGAGAATGCTGCTGGAACATGGCCAAACAGTCCAAAAACCTCACAGCAACCGAATGAATCTGGCCAGGAAAGCCTTCAACAATATTATTACAATACGATATTATTATAGTTTTATTAATTATTAATATAATTAATTGTTATATTATTATAATTAAATATTATTAAATTATATATTAATATATTGTATATATTGCTACTGCTGCGACTTATGTAATGTTCTCGTCCCGTAATATTTTCTATTTTCTGTCTTGTAGTTATATTAATAATGAATATAATTAATTAATTTTGATATTATTATAATTAAATATTATTATATTATATATACTACTACTGCTGTGACTTATGTAATGTTCTCATCCTGTAATATTTTCTATTTTCTGCCATATAATTATATTAATATAATTAATATAATCAATTAATTGTTATATAATTATAATTGAATATTATTATATTATATATTATTATATATTGTATATATTTCTACTGCTGCGACTTATGTAATGTTCTCGTCCCATAATATTTTCTATTTTCTGCCTTATAATTATATTAATAATTAATAATTAATATAATCAATTAATTGTTATATTATTTTAATTAAATATTATTATATTATATATTATTATAATATATTGTATATATTGCTACTGCTGCGACTTATGTAATGTTCTCATCCCGTAATATTTTCTATTTTCTGCCTTATAGTTAATATTAATAATTAATATAATTAATTGTTATATTATTATAATTAAATATTATTATAATATATTATATATATTGCTACTGCTGCAACGTATGTAATGTTCTCGTCCAAATATTTATTGCTACTGCTGCAACTTATGTAATGTTCTCGTCCAATAATATTTTCTCTTTTCTGCCTTATATTAATTATTTATAATTAATTGCTATATTATAATATATTATATTATATTATATTATATTATATTATATTATATTATATTATATTATATTATATTATATTATATTATATTATATATATTGCTACTGCTGCGACTTGTGTAATGTTCTCTCCCTGTAATATTTTCTATATTACAATTTCTTTCAGAATTGTGCCTGACGTCAAACCTCAAAGCAGAGACCGTGCCTTCAAGCGACCAGCACCATTTTAGCTTTTGGTACAACATGGGGCATCCTCTGGTGCTTTGTGTAAGCTGGTTTGTTTTAATGGGATAACTGGGCTGGAGAAGGGCAGAATATCTTTTTGGAAAATCATGCATCGTCCGTTTTCAGATTGACCACTACTTCTTAAGATGCATCTACACTGCAAATGTGAGTAGATCAATAGGTACTGCTCCGGCGGGAAGGTAATGGCGCTCCATGCAGTCATGCCGGCCACATGACCTTGGAGGTGACTATGGACAATGCCGGCTCTTCGGCTTAGAAATGGAGATGAGCACCACACCCTGGAGTCAAACATGACTGGACTTAATGTCAGGGGACAACCCTTACCTTATACAAAATATTACATTACATTATATTATATTATTAACATAGCATTAAGTATTCAAAGGGATGGGCAAAGTGATACAAGTCTTTCAGATCTTTCCTGTGGCCATTTAGTGTTGGCACCAGATATCATTTCCGGTTTATTGCCGGTAGGTATTCCATAAATTCGCATGGTTTCCAGGTATATAAAGAATTAATATTCTTTTCTTTGTCAGACGGATGATAAAGGCGTCTTTGCAACTGGCTTGTCTCAGGAGTATCAGCTGGTGGCGGATACGTTTCATCTCTCCCAAGAACAGATGTGGAACATCTCCTATCGTGCCATCGACCACATTTTTGCATCCAGCCTGACGAAGATGCATCTCAAAGAACGGTGGCAAGAACTGAAACCATCTCTACTTAAATAGCAGACACTGAATATCAACATGTGACTTACGTAGAGAAGACTTGGGCAAAATGAAGTGTATGGATTGTATGCCCCAATCCTCAATATATATGTTAAGGAAATGTTTACAAGGTTCCTTACGTTAAGCAGGAAGTCAACACAAAGCTCCTTATGGTTAACACCAATTAAGGAGAGTCAACATCTGCCTGGAAGCCAGGATCTTTCAGGCTGGAAAAACATCTATCATTCATTTAAAACTTTGGAACAACATCAGGAAGAAATATTGCTATATAAGAGACCTTTTTACAATCCAAAATTGTGGTAGAGTGGAGTAGTCTGTCCCACCAATCCTCAATATATATGTGTGCGTCTGTGTCAAAAATATATGCTGTGTGGTTTGAAGGGAATTGTATGAAAGTTGGAAGAATGGACCTAGTTGCTGATGAGAATTGTGATAATGATTTAACTGTTGAACTTTGGGGGGGAAACTACATTTTTACATTATCAGAGACAATGGCTCTTTAAGTTAAGGAAAATGTTTACAAGGTTCCTTACATTAAGCAGGAAGTCAACTACAAGAAGGAGGTGAAGAATTCATGGAGTGTAATTAAAAGTTGTTGATGAGAACTGTGATAATGATTAACTGTTGAACTTTTGGGGAAAAATGTTTTTACATTATCAGAGACAATGGCTCTTTAAGTTAAGGAAAATGTTTACAAGGTTCCTTACATTAAGCAGGAAGTCAACTACAAGACAGAGGTGAAGAATTCATGGAGTGTAATTAAAAGTTGTTGATGAGAACTGTGATAATGATTAACTGTTGAACTTTTGGGGAAAAATGTTTTTACATTATCAGAAACAATGGCTCTTTAAGTTAAGGAAATGTTTACAAGGTTCCTTACATTAAGCAGGAAGTCAACTACAAGATGGAGGTGAAGAATTCATGGAATGTAATTAAAAGTTGCTGATGAGAACTGTGATAATGATTAACTGTTAAATTTTTTGGGGAAAACTAAGTTTTTACATTATCAGAAACAATGGCTCTTTAAGTTAAGGAAATGTTTACAAGGTTCCTTACATTAAGCAGGAAGTCAACTACAAGATGGAGGTGAAGAATTCATGGAATGTAATTAAAAGTTGCTGATGAGAACTGTGATAATGATTAACTGTTAAATTTTTTGGGGAAAACTAAGTTTTTACATTATCAGAGACAATGGCTCTTTAAGTTAAGGAAAATGTTTACAAGGTTCCTTACATTAAGCAGGAAGTCAACTACAAGACGGAGGTGAAGAATGGAGTGTAATTAAAAGTTGCTGATGAGAACTGTGATAATGATTAACTGTTAAATTTTTTGGGGAAAACTAAATTTTTACATTATCAGAGACAATGGCTCTTTAAGTTAAGAAAAATGTTTACAAGGTTCCTTAAGTTAAGAATCATAGAATCAAAGAGTTGGAAGAGACCTCCTGGGCCATCCAGTCCAACCCCCTGCCAAGAAGCAGGAATATTGCATTCAAATCACCCCCGACAGATGGCCATCCAGCTTCAGTTTAAAAGCTTCCAAAGAAGGAGCCTCCACCACACTCCAGGGCAGAGAGTTCCACTCCTGAACGGCTCTCACGGTCAGGAAGTTCTTCCTCATGTTCAGATGGAATCTCCTTTCTTGTAGTTTGAAGCCATTGTTTCGCGTCCTATTCTCCAGGGGAACAGAAAACAAGCTTGCTCCCTCCTCCCTGTGGCTTCCTCTCACATATTTATACATGGCTATCATGTCTCCTCTCAGCCTTCTCTTCTTCAGGCTAAACATGCCCAGTTCCTTATGCCGCTCCTCATAAAACTTGTTCTCCAGACCTTTGATTATTTCAGTCGCCCTCCTCTGGACACATTCCAGCTTGTCAATTTCTCTCTTGAATTGTGGTGCCCAGAATTGGACACAATATTCCATGTGTGGTTTAACCAAAGCGGAATAGAGGGGTAGCTTGACTTCCCTAGATCTAGACACTAGGCTCCTATTGATGCAGGCCAAAATCCCATTGGCTTTTTTTGCCGCCCCATCACATTGTTGGCTCATGTTTAACTTGTTGTCCACGAGGACTCCAAGATCTTTTTCACACGTACTGCTCTCGAGCCAGGCATTGTCCCCCATTCTGCATTTCGTTTTTCCTGCCAAAGTGGAAGGAAGAAGGAAGTCAACACAAGGCTCCTCGCAGTTAACAACACCAATTAAGGAGAGTCAACATCTGCCCGGAAGCCAGGATGTTTCAGGCTGGAAAAATATCTATCATTCATTTACAACTTCAGAACAACATCAGGAAGAAATATTGCTATATAAGAGACCTTTTTACAATCCAAAATTGTGGCAGAACGGAGGAGTCTGGCCCACCTGCTGCTCTTTTCCTTTGGAAGTGGTCGATCTGCAATGGAACGCAATCTGGTTACTTGTTCCTTTTCTCACAGGAAGAGAAAGGAGTCTGATTTTGGAGCCATGATATCATAGAATCATAGAATCAAAGAGTTGGAAGAGACCTCATGGGCCATCCAGTCCAACCCCCCCTGCCAAGAAGCAGGAATATTGCATTGAAATCACCCCTGACAGATGGCCATCCAGCCTCTGCTTAAAAGCCTCCAAAGAAGGAGCCTCCACCACACTCCGGAGCAGAGAGTTCCACTGCTGAACGGCTCTCACAGTCAGGAAGTTCTTCCTCAAGTTCAGATGGAATCTCCTTTCTTGTAGTTTGAAGCCATTGTTCCGCGTCCTAGTCTCCAGGGAAGCAGAAAACAAGCTTGCTCCCTCCTCCCTGTGCTTCCTCTCACATATTTATACATGGCTATCATATCTCCTCTCAGCCTTCTCTTCTTCAGGCTAAACATGCCCAGCTCCTTAAGCCGCTCCTCATAGGGCTTGTTCTCCAGACCTTTTGTCATTTTAGTCGCTCTCCTCTGGACACATTCCAGCTTGTCAATATCTCTCTTGAATTGTGGTGCCCAGAACTGGACACAATATTCCAGATGATTTTGGAGCCATGATATCATAGAATCATAGAATCAAAGAGTTGGAAGAGACCTCATGGGCCATCCAGTCCAACCCCATTCTGCCAAGAAGCAGGAATATTGCATTCAAATCACCCCTGACAGATGGCCATCCAGCCTCTGTTTAAAAGCTTCCAAAGAAGGAGCCTCCACCACACTCCGGGGCAGAGAGTTCCACTGCTGAACGGCTCTCACAGTCAGGAAGTTCTTCCCAATGTTCAGATGGAATCTCCTCTCTTGTAGTTTGAAGCCATTGTTCCGCGTCCTAGTCTCCAAGGAAGCAGAAAACAAGCTTGCTCCCTCCTCCCTGTGGCTTCCTCTCACATATTTATATATGTTTATATCTTTGTACTTCTGCCATAGAGAACTTTACAAAGGGAACTTTGTCAAGTTTGCAAACTTTGCAAATAAGAGAAACTACATCCAGAGCAGTGCAGTCTCGTTTTGTGTGCTCTCGGGTTTAATAAAAGCACAAGGTCTTTCAAGCTGGTCCAGATTTTTCTTTTCTTCCTTCCTTGACTTTAACTCGTCCACAGCCAGAGTCGGTCGCACACTGCGGAAGACCAAAAGAGAGTTGTCGTTTGGACAAAGCAAAGCCCTGAGAACAAAGACACTTTGAGTCCCCGTCAAGAGACAAAAGTGGAATGCATATCTCATCCCAAACAAATAAAATAAACCGAAAGGAGGAAGGCACTGACCAAAGGGCTTGCCAGCTGCTCTCCAGGGCTTGATGGAGTTGACCACATTGACGTAATTGATCCACTTTTCTTCCCATGTAGGCTCAGGTCCTGGGGAAAAGAGGAGGCAACATTTACAGATCTGTACTTTATATAAAAGGGGAAAATATTCCATTTACTGCCCTTGTTTGGAGGTTTTTAAAAAGAGGCTGGATGGCCATCTGTCAGGAGGGTTTTGCTTGTGTCTTGCATGTTGGAAGGGGGTTGGATTGGATGATCTTTATGGTTTGTGGTTTTATTTTTTTTGGTCATGTCAGGAGCAATTTGAGAAACTGCAAGTCGCTTCTGGTGTGAGAGAATTGGCCAGGGGACGCCCAGATGTTTTTGATGTCTTGCCATCCTTGTGGGAGGCTTCTTTCATGTCCCCACATGAGGAGCTGGAGCTGATAGAGGGAGCTCATCTGCACTCTCCCCAGATTCAAACCTGCGACCTGACGGACTGAAGTTGCGTGAGCTCCCATCTGTCAGCTCCAGCTTCTCATTCGGGGACATGAGAGAAGCCTCCCACAGGATGTGTCTGATATCTTGCCATCCTTGTGGGAGGCTTCTTTCATGTCTCCGCATAAGGAGCTGGAGCTGATAGAAGGAGCTCATCTGCACTCCCTGTCGGTCTTCAGGCCCAGAGTTGGGTGAGCTCCCATCTGTCAGCTCCAGCTTCTCAGGCGGGGACATGAGAGAAGCCTCCCACAGGATGTTTTTAATATCTTGCCATCCTTGTGGGAGGCTTCTTTCATGTCCCTGCATGAGGAGGTGGAGCTGATAGAAGGAACTCATCCTCACTCTGCCCGGATTCGAACCTGCAACCTGTCGGTCTTCAGTCCTGGAGTTGGGTGAGCTTCCATCCGTCAGCTCCAGCTTCTCTGGCAGGGACATGAGAGAAGCTTCCCACAGGATGTTTTTGATGTCTTGCCATCCTTGTGGGAGGCTTCTTTTATGTCCCCGAAAGAGGAGGTGGAGCTGATAGAGGGAGCTCATCCTCACTCTGCCCAGATTCGAACCTGCAACCTGTCGGTCTTCAGTCCTGGAGTTGGGTGAACTCCCAACTGTTAGCTCCAGCTTCTCATTCAGGGACATGAGAGAAGCCTCCCACAGGATGGTAAAACATATGGGCGTCCCTTGGGCAACATCCTTGCAGACGGCCAATTCTCTCACACCAGAAACGACTTGGAGATTCTCAAGTCGTTCCTGACATGAAAACAAAAATAGTCCCTCCTAACTCTCAACCTCCAGATGTTTTGGATCTCCATGAACCCCAAAATGACCATAGGCATGGTTCATGGTTCAGCGATTCTGGGAGCCGGAGTCCAAAAAACCTAAAAGGCCCAATGCATGCAGAAGACATGAGTTTAAATACACATCGTTATTTTACCTATAATTTGAGAGAGGTCAAGGGTCATGGCTCCTCTGTGTTTGATGCTCTCTCTCATGAAGCCACGGCTGTCGACAATCTTCAGAGACACAAAAAAGTTAAATAAATACAAGTATGCTTTATTTGATTACTGGATGGAGACGGGATGGAAGGACAGCGATATTACAACTCCCCTTCATTTTTATTTATTGTGTCAGAAGCAAAACGAGAGTATTGTATTTAAAAACACAAAGAAAGTTGGAGGGAGTCTCTCATTTGGTATCAGCCATTGATTGAGGTGCTGCGTTTGAGCCTGCCACTTTTGGACTCTCGCTTGCTGAGGTGTTCCTGCAAGTATCTCTAGAAAACCATTTCTTGATTTAAGGCATTGGCGTGCTGGTTGATATCCGAACAGAGGATGAGTTGGAGATGTCACTGCCTTGGTCCTTTCATTATTGGCTGCTACTTCCCGGCAGATATCAGGAAGCGCAATACTGGCTAAATAGTATAATTTCTCCACAGGCTAAATATACTCGGGGGTGGGTGGGGTGAGGCGGGAGTAAAAATATCTGTTTTGTCTTTCCAGAAGGTTCCGAAACTGGTCTTTCCCTTCTTCTTTCTTCCTTCTCTACCTGTTTCTTTTCTCTTCCTTTGCTGTTTGGTTTCATCCTCCTTGTCTCTCCTTCCTCTCCTTCCTTCTCTCCCTCCTTTCTTCCTTCCTTCCTCTCCTTTTCTTTTTGTTCTTTTTTCTCTCCTTTCCTTCTCTCTCCTCTTCCTTTCTCCTTCTTTTTCTCTTCCTTTTCCTTCTCTCCTTCCTTCTCCTTCCTCCCTTCTCTTCTTCCTTCTTTCTTCCTCTCTCTCTCTTTCTCCCTTCTCTCTCCTTCCTTCTCTCCTTTCTTCTTCCTTCCTTTTCCTCCCTCTCCTTCTTCTTCTCTTCTTTTTCTTCCTTCTCCTCTCCTTCCTTCTCTACTTTCCTTTTCCTCTCTCTCCTTCCTCCTTCTCTCCCTCCTTCTTCCTCTTCCTTCTCTCCTTTCCTTCCTTCCTTCTCCTCTCTCTTCCTTTCTTCTTTCCTTTCTCCTTCCTCCTTTCTTCTCTTCCTCTTCCTTTCCTTCCTTCCTTCCTTCCTTCTTTCTTTCTTTTCCTTCTTCCTTCCTTCCTTCCCTCCTTCCCCCTTTCTTTGTATGTGTTTTGTGTTTGTATATATGTGTTTTTGTGTATATATGCGTGGCTTTGCACATGCATTGTAATGTATTCTTTTGTTTTTTGGCTTTTTAGGACTCTTCTGCTGTTTTTTTCAGTGTTTTTATGAGTGATGGTCTCTCGTTGGCCTAATACGTGCATTGTGTCCAAATCTGGTGTCAATTTATCCAGTGGTTGTTGAGTTCTGTCAATCCTACAAATGAACATTACATTTTTATTTATATAGATTTTATCTCCTGCCTTAATCCCAGTGTGGGATGTAAATCTCTTGATGGATTCCAGACCATGTTGTTGGGCATCCCCCTTTCTCTGGGGCCAGAATCGGATGCTATGGCCTTGAGTTTGAAAATGAATCAAAGAGGAGTCATCATCTGTGCTGGTACGGCTCTACCAGGAGCTCCAACTTCATTTTCTTTCTATTCAATGTCTGCAGGCATTCCAAGGTTTCAGGCATTCTGCAAAGGTGGTTTGCAATTATAGGGCCAATGACCCATCAATCATTAAGTTTTGGTTCCGCCCCTTTCCCCAGGGCCCTGGGAGGAGAGGGAGCCATTTTTAGTTCAGTCTTACAGAAGGAAATTAAGCTACAGGACGTGGACCAGCTACACCTGCAGAAAAGCTTCATTTCCTACAGTTTCCGGGGGGAAATAGTCCCATAGCTCTGGCTGGGAACTTACAACCTCTCAGCCTTACAGCATTCGGGGAAAACAGTTTTACAGACCCAAAGAACTCCAGCTGGAGAATTTACAAAGCCTTGACTTACGGTCTACTTGGGGCCCAAGTAGTTTGGAACCGGTAGTAGGACCCACACCAGCAAAGTCTAGATCAGGGGTCCTCAAACTAAGGCCCAGGGGACGGATGCGGCCCTCCAAGGTCATTTACCCGGCCATCGCTCAGGGTCAACCAAAGTCTGAAATGACTTGAAAGCACACAACAACAATCCTATCTCATCAGCTAAAAGCAGGCAAACACTTCCCATTGAAATACTAATAAGCTTATATTTATTAAAATTGTTCTTCGTTTTAATTATTGTATTGTTTTAAAGTGTGCATAGGAATTTATTAATGTTTTTTTAAAAAATTATAATCCGGTCCTCCAACAGTTTGAGGGATTGTGACCTGGCCCTCTGTTTAAAAAGTTTGTGGACCCCTGGTCTAGATAATAGATTGCCTGGGAGAGGTTAAAAAAGGGTTTTCCTTTCAAAAGAAAAAAATAGTTCTCAAAGTCAGTTGCCTGTTGTTGGGGTTCAGCCTCTGTGTGAACCTGACCCTCCGCCTTCGTGTGAACCTGAACCTGATTCTATTATTGTATTTCCTGATGCAACTGAACAGGGCACTGAACATGTATTTTCCCTGATGGTTTGGAAACTGTTGATTCTGAGGGCAGTGGCTGGGAAAGTGAAACTAAACATCCTGATGAGGATGTTTCAGAATCAAGCGGTGATAACTCTCCAGAGGAGTTAACACCTGCCTTTTTTAAATGAGGATAGAAGAAGGCAGATTTGGGAAAACAGGGGTAAATCACAGAGTCTGCGAAGGTCAAGTAAATTAAAGCAGAAGGAGGCTTCCAAGCCTGGAGGCATGTCCCGAAACAGTTTCTTTAGTTTAAAGTGTCTTTCGCCAGGTTGTCTTGTTAGATCAAGCATCATTTAGACTGAGGCATTACCTTGGCTGAGTTCCCATTTCCCATGGCCTGCATTCCCAGAGGCTTCTAGTTCCAAGTACAATTAGTGAGATACTAACAGGTTCCAGGTTTTTATAGTGTGCTTTTGGAATTTTGATCTAGTTCAGAGATTTTCCTGACTGCTGAGTTTTACTGTGGCTTTTTGACTTTGCATTTTCCTCTATTTTGTAACCATTTTGTCATCAATAAAAAAGGATTGTTTTTCCCACAGTCAAGTGTGGTGGATTTAATCTTATGGTCTTGTTTCCTGATCTGGGTTGCAACGCCTGTCCCTTGTGGACAAGATTAAGAAAGCCACCAGTCATTTGTATGATTGTCGTTGAAGATTGAAGAAGTATTTGTTCAACAATAAAGGACTTTGTTAAACCTTTCAAGCCTCTAAAGACTCTTCCAGAGGAAAATCCTTAGGGCCTCTCTATCAAGGCACCCTTGGCTTCCTGCTGGGCACAATGTGCACATCCTGTTCAAAAGACAATTATTACACGCCCAGCACATGACAGCACATCATCACTGCGTCCCTTTTTTGAAGCCCCCCTGAATTTTACTAACAGGAAGAGGATCCATACTCACCGGGCTGGGAATATATAGGTAGATAGGCCTCTTAATGCTGTAGTCAACGGAGGTGGCATACGGAGGCATAAAGACTCTAAGGAAAACAAAGAAAATGCAGGGAAACAGCCAAGCGTAATTGGACTGAGACTCGGGAGACTAAGGTTCAAATTGCCACTCTGCTATTATATCCAGTTATTATAACCCTTACCAATCCCTGGAGGTTCATCAGCAAAGGCTGGATGGCCACCTGTTGGGAGGGCTTTGATGGTGTCTTGGGGTTCTCTTTATGATGCTACATTTCCTGCATGGCAGAATATGGACTGGAATGAATGAGCTTTGAGGCTATCCTCCAATTTCTCTGATTTCTGCCTAACAGAATAGGGTTGGATTGGGTGGCCCTTGGAGTCTCTCCCGACTCTAGTTTTTCAATAGAGGCTGTATGGCCATCTTTCGGGAGGGCTTTGGTTGTGTGTTCGAAGGGGTTGGGCAGAATTGTCTTTGGGGTCCTCTTCCAACCCTATAATCCTATTTTCCATCTTCATTGCTATGATACTTCATCTTGTTGATAGGAAGCTTCATGATGGCAACAGTCTTGGACGGCAATGGCTCCCAAAGTGACCCATTTAAGGTGGAATCGGGTGTCAAACAGGGATGATGTGTTATTGTCCCAACCTTATTCTCCATCTTCATTACTATGATACTTCGTCTTGTTGATGGGAAGCTTCCCACTGGAGTGGAAAACATCTATCGGACAGATGGCAAACTATTTAACCTCAGCATACTGAAAGCCAAAACCAAGGTTACAACAATATCTGTTCTAGAACTCCAGTATGCTGGTGACAACGTCGTCTGTGCGCATTCAGAAGAAGAACTACTCTAATCTCCTCCACAGAAGCATACGAGAAGCTCGGCCTGTCATTGAACATTGAATATTGAACTCTTGTTGTAACACTTACCTGTGATAGAAAGCCATGTTGGATTTAGCCTTGCTCTTAGGTGGATGTCCTCAGATTTGAGTTCAAGATTCCCATCTTCCTTATTCTCCCCTTTTGCCCTAGTGATCTCACAATGGCTTCTGTCATTAGCCAATCGGCTACTGAGGGCGATGCCATCACCAAGAGACTAATGCCATTATGGGCTGTAAAGAGTTGCAGTGGGAGTTGTAGGCTGAAAACCTTGCAAAACTACAACTCCCAGGATCCCAACACATTGAACCAATCAGACCATTTTTACATATTTACGAAGGGCGTTCATTAAATATTTCCCTTGACTGATTTATCACAGGATGCTGAAATTGTACGTATGCCATGATATATAGGTCTCTATAGTTTATGTGCCAATTTACAACTCTGAACTGATAATGGCATCGATTGTACAGGTGTTCAAGTGGAGAGAGGTTTGAGAATGGACCCAGTGGAATATAGAGCAGTCCTCAAGTTCCTTTACTCGAAAGTCCGCACACCTAAGGAGACGTTTGATGAGATGGAAGAGGTTGATGGTGAGGATTCCCCATCATATGATGGAGTCAAGAACTGGCATTGTCCATTCCAATGTGGTTGGACTTCGGTGGAAACAGCTCCAATTCCAGGGCGACCCCTTACTTATTTACTTAGGCAATCCCTCATTGTCTGAGTAGGAGTCTTCCAAGATCAGTGTACTG